TTAAGATTTTAAATTCCCCTGACTTTTAAACGTTTCAACATTTTAAACAGGTTAGGTTTTTAATTCTTTTGTTGTATGTTTTAAGAAACATAAACTTTGTTTGTTTTATTATAAGACCATTTGATACTAGTTTTGAACTAAGCAAAGCTTGTACGTGCCTCTGGCATAGAATGTAACAGCTCCTGTCTGGTCCTGCAGGATTGGAGAGGGGGTGTTACAAGATCTTTTAATAATATTCTAAATAGGATTTTTAAAATACAACCCGCACAAAATCACGGGCTTTCATTACTTGAAAATTTGAAAAAGAGCGTTTAATTTTACATTCATCATTTAATTAAAAATATATAAACAAATTATTTAAATTAAAGCAACACAAATATAAATTACAATAATTTTCTTGAAAATTACAATTCGCGTATGCGCAGGTATGTGACTAGTTATAGTAATAATGATTTCCTTTTTTTTTACTTTTCAAATTTACTATTTTTAATGAATAAATATTTTTTTTTGAACTTTATTAGTCTATTCAAGGAAAGTATTTTAATTTTTAAATATTATTAATTTATTCAATTCAATTAAGGAAGGATTCTTTTAATTTTTTTATTAACCAGTAAAATTAATTTTTTTTTATTTTTTCAACTATTGAAATTAAAAATTTCTAAGGATATTTTTGTCAATCCATAGCTCTAGTGGGATATATTTATCAATCCCAATGTTCCCTCTCCATTTCAATTTTTATTATGTTAGTTTTTTTGTAATGTGTGTTGCACGTTATTATTATTTGTTATTTGCTTATTGTTTATACTTATTAATCTATTCTTCTATAGTATTAAGTATGGTTATAATTTTTCTCTTATATTGTCTAGATTTTTATAATGTTAAAAAATGATTTTATGTGTAATAATTTTAAATTAAAATGTGTCTCTATTTAAATGTGGGATACTCATGGGTTAATCTTTTTTATATTATCGGGATACTCATCACTTACTAAGCCCGAATTTTCTTTCTTTCTTAGGCTTCTAGCCAATTTTTCTTTAGCTAATTAACCACTTTGACTCTTCATCAAGATGGTCGGCATTATTGATCTTTCCGCTTCTTACAAAAGTCCAAGTATGAAAATTTTGAATGACAATGAAGATGATTCAAATCCTTTCACGTTTCAAAGATTTGCTCATGGATACTTTGGAGCCAAAGCATCAAGAACTCTCCTCATCTAAGAGATTGGATTATTGAACGTACTTGTGAATTCTAACTTTCACATGGAGAAGTTATGCATGTCAAGTGTTGTTTGTCTTGTTGCAATCTTCACTTCACTTCCTTCAAACTCCATTGAATAATCTTTCACTTTTGAAAAGTCTTATCTATAATAATGAAGTTTTTTGACATCATTCTTTCAAATTATTAGTGAACTTTACTTCGTTGAACGCTATTGAGAGTGACTTGAAAATGTGTTTGCAAATAATCAACAACTATTTTTGAAAGTCAATGTGTATCATGTTTTGTTTGCATCAACTTTTGCTTATGATTGCTCCATCAATGTGATTCAAAGTTTCTGTGAACATTGAAGTGCTTCAACAAATACTTTTTTTTCCTTCCACCTAGAGAAGAGTCAAGTTACGTTTGGAATTTGAAAATCCTATAAGGACTTCTAATCAATGCATCATTTTATGATTGGGTAATCCCTTTTGCTAAGGATGTTATGAGAGTTGATGAAGATTAAAATTTCTTCTTACCACGAAGCTATAAGTACTTGTTTTATGCGTACTATAAAAATGTTAAGCGGTTGATAAAAGCTTTAAGTCGAATGTCCACAACTGGGTAAACTTTTAGTTTCACGGTTCTGTTAGATATTCTAAGCGTATTGAAAAAGACTATACCAAAAGAACTGGTCCTCCTGAGGAGAATTTCAAAATTTCAAGTATTTTTAGGAATAATTACCACAGATGCTCATTGGCAAGAGCCCTTTAACATTCTGAACATAAAGATGATCGCAAGGAAGAAGTTTGCTTGGCTGCTTTGATTTCTTATTAGCTATGTAAATTTGTACTTCAACACCAAAGTTCTTCCCACACTAATTTGAGAACACAACTTGATGGTCGAAGAGATTTGGTCTTGAATCAATGTACAATGAACTTGGAATAATTCAAGGGTCAAAAGACTTGATTTTGAATTAGTATTGAAAGAACTTTGATTTTTTGAATTTGGAAGAGAGTTTTCGCAACATTTAGTTTCATGAAGCTTTTATGCTTCTTTTTAATCTTTTTATGTGTTTTTTTTTGTGCTTTAGGTGAAGAGAAGCTACCTATTTATAGAGATAGAAAACCTTATTGCCAAATATGTAATTTGATTGTACCACTTGACAATCTCTCCTTGGCTGTTGTTGTGTTAATTATCTTATGTAGACACTAATTGTGTACCAAGTATTTAATCTAATTAGTCGACTTGACAAGTTTTTATTGGACTTGCTATATCATTTATTTAATGTAGTGAATAAAATTTATCTAATAATTTTATTTTAATGATGATTTAATATTTTGATTGATTATCAAAATAAATTATTTCTATTAACTAATCAATAATTAAATTTATCCAAATTAAATAATTAAGTTAATAATTAAATTAACTCATAGAAATTTAGGTGTCTACAATATGTATATATACAAATTAATAATTTAAGGTTAAATAATGTAAATTAACTCATAGAAATCTTAGGTGCGTACATATGTATAATATACTATATAATATATATATAATTATATTATAGTATATATACTAAGTAATTACTAACATTTAAATTGAACATTAGACTGTGTTGTGGTTTTGATTATATTGTGATATATATATGAATTATACATTTAATTTGAAATTAGACTGTGTTGTGGTTTTGATTATATTGTGATTAGATGGTTTAGAATGAAACAGGACTATTATGATGAAAATAGTGATAGATACTATCTTTGGGTTGACATTACCTTGCAAATGACAAGTATCGAAATGAGATGGGATTTGTAAGAGACAAAAATTAGAGTTCATGTTAGGCTGTTGGCTTAATTTGAATAATCTGTGAACAACTTGCAAGAGACAAGGGTTAAAGTCCCCATCAGGTCCCTGGGCTTATAATGATGTGCCATTGCGTGAACAGACATATGGCCATACTAGGATTAAACTTCTTACATAGGAATCCTCATCTCTTATGACAGTGTGAAGTGAAAGAGTTATTTAGCTCTAATTTACTAAGATGAGACGCTCACCCATGTCTTAATTATTTTTTTAGGTTGCAAGTTTTTAACTTTTACTTCAAGCCTTTCTGCAACTGGTTGTATAGAGAAAGGTATGAGGAGTGTATATTGAGGCTTTTGTATTTAAAAATCATTGTAATTTAGTTAGTTCCACAATTGAGTTGGATATGTGTATTGTAATATATATATTTTTTAGGATTATTGTGATATATATTTTTGAAAGTTGATACTTGTATTTATAATTTAATAATACGTAATGCATTAGCATGCGCAGTGAACATTGTTACGAGTTACTTATTGAGATGAGATGAGCCTAGTAGGTGTCTATTTAAGGTATTATATTTGATGTCATAATAGGCATGAGACTAGTTATCTGAACAAGTAATTGATGTATAATGTCTAAGGTTTACTGCGTGCTTTAGAGAACTTAAACCCACCAGATTCTAATGTCAGTCCGGCCCAAAGTGAGGGGTCGTGATATATTGTTATCTTGTAAGAAAAACTATGCATGAGGACTGTGAATATGATGGTAAATTCTCCACCGTAAGTACTATAAACTGTTCATGGTTATATATATTATCTTGTTAGAAAAACTATGCATGATGATTGTGAATATGATGATATATTCTCTATTGTAAGTACTATAAACTGTTTATGATCGTAGGACAATTCGTTAGTCACCAATTCTCTGAAAAATCACATCTCTTTTTTTTTTTTTTTTTCTCCATAATTAGTATATTATACTAATGATATAGAAATAGTTAGCCGCATGCTACTTAATTAGGAATCATAGGTGCAATTTAGTTTGGTTCAGATAATTTGGGTGTTTTTAATTTTTTTACAGGTTATTGATACTACAAAACAAGTTTTGTGCATATAAATTCATTTTTAATTTTTTCCTTACCGAATAAAATTAAAATTACATTTAATTAATTTCTAATTTTTCATTGAGTCATTAAATTAAATAATTTATTCATTTAGAAATCAAAATATTGATATTGCAAAATTTTTAAAACTATGGCCTAATCCACGAGTAATTTGAATTATTACCACCATTGTAGATTGATTTATGGGTGGTTTGAATGGTTTATAACGCTTTATAAATACCTTGATATAAAATATAATTTTTAAATTAATTTATTTTTATTCATCGGAGATTTAATAGCTTAAAATAATATGATGAGCTACATGATTGGAATAAACTTCACTCTAATTCACCAAATTGATAAAAATTCTTATAATTGAGAGAACTCAAACTCAATGCCTTCTATCCTCTAAAAGTATCTCTAATATTAATATTGATTGTTCATATTTAATTGCCTGATAAAAAAAACTGAAAGATTCTTTAAAAATGATCTCAATACTAATGTGTATTTAGTAAGTGTAAGTTGTAAAAAAAAAAGAATTGTCTGCATTTACACCTATTTTTAGAGAGTCTTTTAAATAATGTCTGCATTTATTGTTCTATAATAATTGATTGTATATTAAATAATCGACTCGGAAAAGAAAAGAAGAAGAAGAAAAAAAGAATATGATTCAAAATTTGTGCGTTGGATAAAGATTTAAAAATTCAACGTTTGTACAGACATTTAACTATATTACTGTTCATGCCTTGTATTCGAATGATGCATCATCCACGGTGGACGTTAGCATTTATTTTTTTTTTTTTTTAGAAGAAGCGTTTACTATTTATCATCATTGTCTCAAGTAAAATAAAGTTTTGAGTTAGACGGCGTACATTAGAGTTGGAATTAGACAATGAGCGTGAGTGGGTGGACGAAGAAGTTAAGCGTGTGGTGGAGAGTGAAGCAAAAGGACAGGTGTGAGAGAGAGAGCAAGCGCCGAAACTCACAAACTTCGAAGGGGATGGGACCCTCTCCGTCATCAATGCTGTCTTTTGCTACCACCTACCTCCCACACTCGACGGCTCTGCCATCTCATGTCTGCAATGTCTAATTCTAAAACATCTCTTCTTCATCTCTCTACATATTAATTACTTTAGCTAATCTCTGCTTGCCTGTTACTCTCATATACTCAGTCTTGTCACTATAATATGATATCATTATTCTCTGCTTTTCTAGAGCCATACAGAGGACTGTAGTGGTTGTTTGCGGAATTGACGAAGATTGCTCATCTTTCTTTTTCTTGGACGCGGTTTCTCTATTTCAACCTCACAAGCATCGATGGCAGAGGACGGATCCACTGAAGTCGCTACTCCAGTTCGTCGCGTTCTTCTCATTTCTGCTGGTGCTAGTCATTCCGTTGCTCTCCTCTGTAAGCCTTGGCTGATTTTCTCACTTCTTATTTTGTTTTATTTTATTTGTTCTTTCATGTACTATTGAATAGATAAAAGCCTTCAGTTTTCATCCACACATTTGCATTTGATTGATTTGGGTTTGCATTTTAACGAATTTTTATTTTACCTTTGCTTATGCTGAGCCTTTCGCAATGTATTATATTTACATTGTATCATGCTGCTTCGAGTGATTCTCAAGGCTTGGTGTTTGATTTTACTTTTCTATATGCGTTGTAATATATGTGTTTATGGTTTGAGTTCAATAGAGGTACCCCTAAATGCAAGGGGCTCGAACCAAGGCACCAGCTTTGTGGGTTGAAGAATTGATCACTTTGATTATTAGATTCAGTAGGTTTAATTCATGTATAACTTGATTCTTACAGGACAACTTGCACATTTTTAAACAGTTCATCCGACTCCTATGCTATGGGACAACTACATTATGCTAAGTGCAGTGTAATCTTACCTTATTTGCTAACTCTTAGTTAGGTTTAGTGCATCAAAGTGACACAAACTAACTAAGCTCTCTTATATTCTAAGAACCATTTTGATAATCCCAAGTTACATCTTGAAAAGGCCTAATACATGGATTTACTCCAAGCTTTATGGCCTTTTGCAATTTCATATATATCTTACCCTGTTTCGAACTTTGAGACTCCTGAACACAAATTTTAAAAACTTGGTTGCAATTATACCCTTCCAGTCAAAATTGAAAAAATAATAATATTTTATTGTTAAGCTAATTAAAATTTTTATCTTATTTTATTTTTTGCTTTTTCTCTCCTTTCCCTTCACCACCCAACCCCTTTGTGTCTCCTTTGCATCCCTTGCAAAATACAATTCAATCCACTTTCTTCCATATTAAACCCCTTTAGAGCTTAACAATGAGTTTTCTTTATTTTTATTTTTATTTTTATCTTCTTTGGAATTTTCCAATTCTTTGGCGCAATTTTTCTTACAGGTCTTTCTTTTGTTTGTTGGGCTTTTCCTTGAGGTCTTCCAATTTATAGAGAAGGAAAGAGGTAGTTCAAAAATTAATGGACTTTTGTTTTGGGTCCTCCATTTGCTTTTTCTTGTGGTCTTCCAGTTTTTGGGTTTTGATTTATGGAGAAAGAAAGAGAGAGTATTATGTTGGTTTTTTAGGGAGGGAGGGGGTTTCCATTTTTTTATTGTATCTTATTGGGATTTTACAGGGGGGTATTTAATTTTTGAGTTTTGATTTGTGGAGAAAGAAAGAGAGGTAGAAATGACGGAGTGGAGAAGAAAATTTGTATAAATAATGATATTTATTACTAATTGGACTAAATTGTTCGCTGTTTTTTTTATTTCATTTTCCTTCCCCTCTCTCTTTCTGCCCCTTGCTTCTTTGTGCCATCTTTCCTTTACTTGTCCTTTTATCAATATTGTATCTAGTTTTATGATTTGGATTTGATGGAAATAAGGCAAAAGAATACTCTCTTTTGTTATATGAATTTATTTTGCTTATAGACTATTTCATTTGGATTGGTATCTCTAAAAGGTCGATTATGTGGAAAATGTTATTAATAGATCAAAGTTATGTGGAAATTATGTTTTTTTTTTTTTTTTTTTTTTTTTTTTAAGTAGATCAAGTTAAATTGTGGAAATTTAATTTTTTTTTTTTTTTTTTTTTTTTTTTATTTTATTTAATTTAGCTAGATTTTCTGAAAGAATCTAAAGTTTGCTTTTTTTTTTTTTTTTTTTTTTTATTTTATTTAATTTAGCTAGATTTCTGAAGAATCTAAAGTTTGCTAGAAAATGTAACAAGCCTATCTTGGACAATTTTTTGAGCTGGATTTTAAGTTTGAATTTGGCTCAAATTCAAAATGATATTTACATGATCTAGAGTTGATGATTATTGTATTTTCCTTGGCTCGGTTCAATTGTAGCTCTACTTTTAGTTTGTTATTTGGGCTTGACTATTGAGCTTATATGCTTGACAACAAGTGCCAATCAAGGAAGCGCCAACCAAATGGTAATACACGGATTTGGTTTCTATACTAGAGCAAGTTTAGATTGGTTTGAGAAGTTGGCATTGAAGTTTTGGTTTAGTTTTCAAACTTCTGAACTGAACTGAACCAAGCTTACTTTATCTCCGCACTTGTTACCGTTTCCCTTTTCCTTCTTCTTGTTGATTTTCATAATTCTTTTGAGTGCCTTCATTTTATTTTCAAGCCTAAATTGTTAAAAGTAGCATCAATCAGTCAAAAAATGAAGTTTTTCATAATTCACAGCTGGAAACATTGTTTGCTCTTGGGGACGAGGGGAGGATGGGCAGTTAGGACATGGTGATGCAGATGATCGACTTTCACCAACACAACTGAGTACTTTGGATGACCATGAAATTGTATCTGTTACTTGTGGTGCAGATCATACAATTGCATATTCTGAGGCACTTATGGATGTTTATAGTTGGGGATGGTTTGTATTCACCTTGAATTTTAGTTCTTATATATTTCTAATCTTTAGTTAATTTTTCAATAAATTCTTTTTTTGTCATTGACTCCACTTAATAGTTTCTAAAGCAGTTTGGAAGTTGGTATGGAAAATATAAGTTTAAAAGCATTAATAAAGTATAAATAAATTGCATAGTTATATGATTGTTGGATGAAATGTTGATAGAAAATTATGAAATTTGTTTACAAATTTAAAGCTTATAATGCATAAGCTATGGAAATATGTGTATTCATGCATGCCAAATTATGTTTGTGCAGAATTTAGGATTTCAGTCAACATGTCCTAAAAGAAATTACTTGGAAACTAAAAGAGATCAACACCTGGCTATCTACTTGTCTTACACATTCCAAAAGAAAGCTTTGACTCCAAATCCTATTGAGACTTGAACCCTAAATAGAAATACATTAAAAAGTTTCTGATAATTTTAGTGAATCCTGAAGTAATATTGAGGAATTCTAATTGCCTGAATAAAAAGGTTCTAATGGGAAGTTGCAGAGGTCCTAAATAAAACAAAGGTGCATTCACAAAGTATGGAATTGATGATTATATGCATAGGTAATCTAATCGAGTGGCTGTTTCCTGAGAACAAACTGACAAGTATAGAAGGAAAAAGAAATAATTGATTGTATAAGATTGAGAATCTTATTGGTAGCAGCCAAGCACATCGCATAATTTTATTGCATCTTATGATAGTTTTTAAAAAAATTAGTATCTTTCTGTCAAATAGGTGTATAATTTATTCTTCTGTCAAGTTCTACATTTTCATCCAGCTTTCCTGGACTTGCATCTCACATGCATTTTGTGTAGGGGAGATTTTGGGAGATTGGGTCATGGAAATTGTAGTGATTTGTTCACTCCTCAACCAATTAAAGCGTTGCATGGTTTAAAGATAAAGCAAATCGCTTGTGGGGATAGCCATTGTTTAGCAGTGACGGTAGAAGGCCAGGTGCAAAGGTTAGTACTCTACATCTTTCTCTTGCTTTTTTTCTCATAGCCCTAGATATTAGATTGATGCTGACTTTAATTTCCTCAAGTTTCTGTTGCGAGGCTGTTCTCAACATGTAAATCACTTCTTTTAAGTGCGTGTTAAGGTTATGTTACTCAGTACAACATTACTAAGAGTAGTTGCTGGAACTGAAGATGTTTTGAAATCAAGAAACATTTCTTCAAAATTCCTCTTATACCTCATACTATTCAATTATTTCCTTCCCCTGTAGGATCTCTGACTCAGGTTTGTTCTTGCGCTATGAAAAACTAAAATAAAACTTAATTATGTTGTATTGACATTTTCTTTTAAACAAGGAAGTAAATTTTATTGAAGAAGATAAAGAAAAACTACTACTTGGCGGGTGAATGAGCCTCTAATACTATGTTAGAACCAACAAGGACAAAAAAGAGAACTCAAAAATGTAAAGCTCTCCAATCTTATTGGGTACACAATGGTGTTGTTCCATTAATCCTTACAAAAAGTCCAAAGAAGTCATGAAAACTTTCTCATCCCATAAAAGATTAAGGGAGATTCCTTAACATGTAAGCTTTCCTCTCAATCCAAATGCTGTATTGGATTCCATTGAAGGCATTACTCTTGAAAATTTTTAGCATTTTTTGGTGATCAATAGCCCCTCCATTTTAAGTCAAAATACATCTCTAGAGAATAAGGACATTTCTAACAAACACCAAAAAGATGGTCTTATATTTCCTAAGTCACCTCACATGTGAAATAAAAAAGCATTAGACTCAAAGTACAAGTGTGCTTTCAACACAAGAGACATTAGACAAAGCCTTTTTTAGGTCTCTCGTTTTTGCAAATATATGTGCAATGACCGTAGGAAAAATGTGAAGAAGATACTTGAGATTTGGAATTTCCATGGACTTTCATTGGTGACATTAATTCTTGCCATGGCTTTCCATCCATTCCTCCATAATTCTGTATACTTTTGCTAGCCTTTATACTAAAGCTGATGGGTAATGGGAATAGTATTGATCATTTTCGAATAAGGGCTATATTTATAAAAGGTGAGATTTTATTGCAAAAGAGAGAGTAGCTAGGCCTAGAGAAGAAGGCATCTTCCTAACTCGGCAAAGAATTACAAAAAAGAACATAAAGAGCAAGCTGTAAAAAGTAATGTCCTTCGATTAAGCTAGACAACATTCAGAATCCTCCCTAAAAGCTCCAAAAGATATAAGTCCGTATAAAAGCCAAAATTACCACCTTGTCCCACAAATTTCAAAATTTTGACCTCTCTGTCCATCTAATGACTCCGTAACATATAGAAAAAGAATAATTGCAAGGAATTTGGCATCTTTCTCTGCCACCAAAAACACCTTCATTTTAAACTAACAATTTCTAAAGATTTTGTTTACGCACAATGCTCCTCAAAGCTGCTAATGCCTTCTTCTAGATCTTCGTTTTTCTCCTACCATGTCAGTTTTGTTTCTTCCAATAATTGCAAATCAAGTATATCTTGTTTATTGCGTAGAATGCAAGTCTACTAAATCTTTAGATGAAGCTATGCCATTGGCATCCATCTTCTGCAATTCAGTTATATCTTGTGGGAAAACATTCTTTGCATTGAGTTTTTTCTTGTTTCCCTGAAGTTGGGGGCGGAATCAGAATGGTCAGCTTGGTCTTGGTACCACAGAAGACTCTCTTGTGCCTCAGAGGATTGGAGCTTTGCAGGTACTTTTACTTTAGTCAGTTCCTTCAGAGATTATGTTGTTCATATTCTCTTATTTGCTTTATTTTCTAAATGTTTACAGATTTAGCATTGCCTGTTGAGCCAAGAATAAACTACCTTCTTTTTAAGCAGAACTAGTCAGTCTAGTCTTGGATTAAGATTTAGTTGTGTTGAATTTCTAATCGGACTTCTGTTTATACTATGTATGGGGAAGGTTATAAAATAATAATCATTATTATTATTAATGTTGTTGTTGTTCTTTCCATAGAATGAGATTTGGCTATATCCCATAATTGTCAAAAGTGTGGGAAAAGAAATTGGATTTATATCTTGGACAAAGAAAAGTAAAATCCCAGGGAGTGGGAGCCTAATCGATTTTTTAATCACTTGAAGATACAGGAAAATTTGTATCTAGGAGAGGGAGCCTATCAATCATTTTTAGTGTGTGAATGGGTTGGTGTGGTGCTTTAGGCCCAAAAGTTATCTGTTAAAATCTTGAAATTCTTGTAAGTTTCTATGATTAAATTACTAAATTTCATAAGCTGAAGGGCACCATGCTGAGTAGCAGCTGTAAACATGATCACAAGAATAGCACTAATCTGAAAATTATTGTAAATGTCTGTCTCATAAGACATCTATTTATCAATTGGAGATGGTGTGTTGCTACAATTTGTGCTCCATATTGATCTTGCAGGGAATCCCAATTAAAATGGTCGCTGCTGGTGCTGAACACACTGCAGCTGTCACAGAAGACGGTGAGCTCTATGGATGGGGTTGGGGTCGATATGGGAATTTGGGCCTGGGTGACAGAATGGATCGCTTGGTGCCTGAGAAAGTTTCTCTGACCCATGTATGTTTGCAAACTGGTATTATTTATCTCTCAATCAGATTTCTATTGTCATCACTATTATCCAAGATTAAGAACTGCTGTTAAAACTATCAATTTTTTTAATCTACATTTTATCAAAAATTTTTTAATGTATTTCCCACTCATTTTCCTTTAAATTCTTTCATTAACTTTCAAAATTTTATTGATTCGAACAAAGTTAGATCTTTGAAACTAGCTTTAAGGAGAGTAGCATTTAACTATGGTGTCAACAAAATCTGGTAGGATGTCTGGAGGAGCTTCCCCATATAGTCGTGGTCATAGGAATCCGTTCTGAAGCCTCTTTTTTTTTTTTTTTTTTTTTTTTTTTTTTTTTTTGTTTAAATGGTCAGATTATAGTGGAAGTCCCCCAAACTAGTTTGGATTAAATACTTAGTTGTTGTTATTAATTGTCAGATATAGGGAGTTGATGGTTGACCACCAATTTTTTTCAATTATCTAACTAGTCAGGCTATTTTATTCTGATTGGGGAGTATGAATAAAGCTCGAGGGCATAAATATTGTAGAATCATTTTGTTCTTTGTATTGATAATGAAACAGAGATTTGTGAAACAAACTTATAAAAGCTTTTCTAATAGGCGTGCCAGAACCCTTTGCTTGAACCACCTGTTCTGAAATTTGTATTAGTAGTTTTAACCATTTTCCTAGAAACCTGGTAGCTTTTTTTTTTTTTTTTTTTTTTTTTAAATGTCAGATATAGTGAGTCCCCAACTAGTTTGGATTAATACTTAGTTGTTGTTATTATTGTCAGATATAGTGAGTGATGGTTGACCACAATTTTTTCAATTATCTAACTAGTCAGGCTATTTATCTGCTGGGGAGTATGAATAAAGCTCGAGGGCATAAATATGGTAGAATCATTTTGTTCTTTGTATTGATATGAACAGAGATGTGAAACTTATAAAAGCTTTTCTAATAGCTTGCCACGAACCTTTGCTTGAACCACCTGTCTGAAATTTGTATTAGTAGTTTACCATTTCCTAGAAACCTTTGCTTCAGTAGGCAAATTTCATTAATTTGCTGCATATGAATAAAGGCGGAGTGAGGGATAACCACCTCCTACATAAGTGGAAACTTTAGCAAATTTTGAGGAATACCCTCCTACAACTAAGTGAAGGAAAAAAAGCTAGAAACTAATTAAACAAAGCACTAAAGCAAACAATTGACATTATGTGCAAGACGGACTGACATCATGGGAGCACCATGAACTGAAATGACCAAGTCGTAGGCTTGGCCTATTCTAAATTCACTCTTAGGGCCATGGCCCATTTGTGAATCACTTTTAAACTATCTGAGGGTAGCTAATGGTGTCTACTTTACCAAGAATTTGGTGCACCTTGTAGGTTTTATTTGCATGAATCATCACTTACTTGTTCATATATTCCAATAAAAATACCTATCTATGATTTCAACTTGTTTGCCTTGCTTTTGGCATCTTGCTAATATCAGTGTTGGAAGTTGTAGGGAGAGAAGATGGTTATGGTTGCTTGTGGATGGAGGCATACAATATCTGTTTCCTCTTCTGGTGGATTATACACTTATGGATGGAGTAAATATGGTCAATTGGGACATGGTGACTTTGCAGATCACCTCATTCCACATCAATTGGAAGCATTGCGGGATAGTTTTATATCTCAGGTAACCTCTTTCTCCTGGAATTGCTATGGTAATAGTTGAATTTTCTTGATTACTTGAATTTCTAGATTTTATGTGTAGTTTTCTTGTCTGCTTTCTCAGTTTTTGTTTTTTATTGTACTTCATTATTTATTCTTTCCGGCAAGGTTTTAAATCACAGTGGCAGTTTTAGTCAATGGTGTAGGCTTGTCAGTGTTTTGCGGTCAAATTATAACTATCATGGTCAGTGCAATTGTGAATTTGTTTAGAAAAATTATGGTATTCATTGGTCATAGTCCATCATGGTGATTGATTGGGTCAATATGCTAAAACACAGCTGGTATTTAACACAATTACTTGCATTGAACTGAAAAATGATTTGGCCGTATGTCATTTTTTGTTGAATCACATTGGTCTAATTTAGATTCAGATGTAAGATTGTATAAGCCAATAGGGTGGCTTGGTATGATGTTAAGTGACTCCTGACCTAGAGGTCATGATTTTAAGCTCAAGAAACAGCCTCTCTACAAAATAATAGTGAGAAGGCTGCATATATCAAGTTATCAATCTTCCCTAGAGCCTGTACATGCGGGTTCTTCGTGCACTAGGTCACCCTTAGATAAATTGAATAAATTCCCCTGTCAAATTGAGACACATACGAGGTACCTTCCTTTTGTAGTTGGTTTTTTTTTGTTTCATGACTGCTACTTCATCCATATCAATTTGTTTGGTCTAGTGGTTGGGTTAAAACAATGCATTATTACATAAACCCTATGCCACATCCAAATGCTGAAAAATGATTTGGTCCTATGTTATTTTTTGCTGAATCATGTTGGTCTAATTTCGATTCAGATGTAAGATTGAATAAATTCCTGTCAAAATTTGACATATGAGGTACCTTTTATATTCAGGTTTTCTGTCTTTCATGACTGCACCATCAGCATTATCAACTTTTTTGGTCTAATGGTTGGATAAAACAATGCAATATTACATAAACTCATACTCCCTTCGTCCCATTGCAATTGTCGTTTAAGGTTATTTTTTTTGGCCACTTTAATTGTTGATTTAGAAAATTAAGTATTAATTAAGGAAGTATATACATAACTTCCTCAGAATTTGAGAAACATTTCCTTCTTGCTCCCAGGGTCTAGTGAGAGGTTCTAAAAGTTGATGTGGTGCGGTAAATTTTCATTGATTTAACCCAAAAATCTGTAGATTGTGGAATTTATGTCGTGATCAGTGAAATATGTAATTTATGATTTTTGAATACTTGCATTAATACCAATGGGATTTACCAAAAGTTTGGAAATGTCTCTAGAGGCTGTAGTAGTTGTTATGCTATAACTTCACTGTTGATTGTCATCAAGATAGTTGTTTGGACTCCTGATCTTTCTCTTTTTCTAATTTTATTTACATTTTCACTGTGATCGAGCGGCTTCCTTCTCAAGTGAGAGTAAAGGGGCATCCCTGGTTCATAAGCCTCTCTGCTGCAAGGTTGTAGTGAGGGTAATCATAAGCAACCTTCACCTTTGCTTTTTTTTCTTTTTTTCGGTTTGTGAAGAGACTGTTTTCTAAGGCATAATTCAAACTCGTGACTTTCCTAAAAGGAACAGTCTTTTCCATAGTGTCAAGGGTTATTGTGAAAGTCAATTTTCTTTTTTGATAATACATTTTTTATGCCTTCCTGCTGATTTGTTGCTATTCTGGTGAGCAAGAAAGGTGGTTAGACAGATTTATCTGGTTAGATAATTGTGGTTGTTTCAATTTCCACTATGTTTAGCAAATCGGAAGCTGAGAATAATAATCACTTGTTAGTTGAAAAGGATGAGAATAGTCAATATCATTTCTCTTAAAATGGATTTTTTTTTTTTTTTCTCTTAGAATCAATGTATTTAAACTTGTCTTGTTTTTATTTTTATTTTTTTCTAGGTATCAGGTGGATGGAGACACACTATGGCAGTGACATCAGATGGGAAACTTTATGGCTGGGGATGGAATAAGGTTTAGAATTTTTATCATTGTTCAATTTCAAGCCATGATTCTTTATTGCCTGAGGTAATCTTTTTTGTTGGTCTTGGTGAATCATTGGCCATAGAGAAAGTCATTTAACCATGTAAGATGCCATTTTTGCACCAACTGATATAGGGACTAAGAAAGGTAAAAGATAGAAAGAACAAGGGAGAAATTAATATCTCTATTGGTCATGCAAACATGTAGAGCAATCTCCTATTTGTATTTTGTCTCTTTCGTTTATTTGTTTGAATTAGTTTGCGTTTCTTATTTCGCTGTGAATTTATTTACTTTGATAAACTTATATATGTTTGTTGTTTATCTTTCTTGCATGGACAGTTTGGACAGATTGGAGTTGGTGACAATGTGGACCATTGTTCTCCTGTAATAGTTAAATTTCCCCATGACCAGGTACATTCTTGTTACTGTAGCTGAGAACTAAGATAGCTCATGCCATTTATATTTCAATTCTATTGATTGTCTTCTTTTTGTTTTCTTGTTTTGCAAGCTTGTTTTTGGTGTCTGATATTTCATTTTTATGTGTATGCTTTGGGGAACTTGTCAGAAAGTAATTAAGATCTCGTGTGGCTGGAGGCATACACTTGCTGTTACTGAACGCCAAAATGTCTTTTCTTGGGGAAGAGGTACAAGTGGACAGCTTGGTCTTGGAGAATCTATCGACCGGTAATAGCATATAGCTACATACTTTTAGAAATATCTGCATATTTTCTGTTCTGAATGAATTCTACTTTGGCCAAGTCTTGCTATTATTGTTCTTCTTGTCTGTGACTGTGTGTGTTTGGTTGGCTAGCATATAAAGAGGTAAAGAAAATAACTCAGAAAAGTCGTTAAGTTGTGAAATAATTTGCAATAATAAATTAGTAGTGTTTTAATGACCTGAGTAAAACAATCCCAAAGCCTGCACTCTAGAATTAAGTTGAAGTATCAAAGTACCCTCATCTGTCTTAGTGACAAAATTACAAATTTGCTCCTGCAGACTACATGGGAACCACACAAGTACATGTCAATTAGTCCATTAATCAGTGGCTGTCATCCTTAGTCATCAGGGGCCATCGTTGGCAGCCAACAATTTTTTAAAAAAAATACAATTATGGTTTGCCATTTGTTATGTCATTTTTTTCTTCAATTTGAAAAATACAAAGTTTTGGCAGGTTTGGACAGTTTCATAGTTCAAAATACGCTCAAGTCATATTAATGATAAATTTACAAATTTGCTCCTGCATACTACAGGGGAGCTACACAAATACATATCAAGAAGTCTATTAATCAATGGCTGTTTTCTTTGGTCATCAGGGGCCACCGTTGGCTGCCAACAAATTTACAAAGCAATTGTAGTTTACTGTTTTTTATGCCAATTTTTTCTTGCATTAGAAAAATATTAAGTTTTGATGAGTCTGGATAGTTTCATGGTTCTATATCTTGAAAAAAAAAAATGAATATTTTCCAATGCACTCCATATAGAAGATAATTTTTGATAGTTTTTAACTATTGCAACTTAATGTTAATGTCGGAATTCTGAAAATTTAATACGAGTGAATGTAGAGTTTTGAAACTTGCCAGACTTCTTATTTAGTAGATGATGATGCATCATTCTTAAGTTTGCTAATTATGTTTGATTGGATAATATCAAATTCTGAAATGAGTCACTTCATCCTTATTGTTAAAAGTTGGCTTGCAATTGATGTCATACTTGCTTCGCTCCGTTCGAATAGTTTTGGTTGGTGAAACGTTGGGATGGAAAATAAAATAGGAGGATGAGAGAGAAGCCAATGTTATTATCTCAATGAGAATTAGAACTTGAGCTCTTGAAATTGGGAGGAATGGATGTACATAACAAGTATGCATTATATTTTGATAAATAGTTGTAATTGGCAAGATGTAGGGGAAGGAGTAGAGTTAAGAGGAATGATGGATGTGGTGGTGTGGATAAGAACTTTAGAAGGTGCACAATTTTGCAATTTCCACCTTGAAGTAAATCTATAAGAATGGATGGGTACCACAATTATCATGGAAGGTGGGGGAAAAGTGTACAGAAAGGGTCGAACTACCAATATTAGATGTAGGTGTCTCATGTCTGGCACTCTTCTAATAATTTAAGGGGTTGGATCCCAACAGCTGCCTACTCTCTCCGTCCCTTTTTCCATCCAAAAATTAAAAAAAAAAATGAAAGAAAAAAATGAACTCTATTTTTTAACCCATCAAAATTTTAGGGAGGGATGGGGACGGTTATAAATGTTGGTGTGATTAGGTATTGGAAGTTTGGTGTCCAAAATCATTACCCAGCTGGTGAGGAGTAGTGTCATTTTCCTTTAGGGAGTGATTCCCTTTGGTATGTTATCAAGAGCAAGAATGCTTACGATGGACAAGCGGGATGCTAAGTGAAGACTAAATGTTCCCTTTGGTATGTTATCAAGTGTAGAAATTAAAGGAAAGAATATGTTTTATTTCTTTCAATTGTGTTATATTTTTCAACTTCTACTCCACTATATATAGATACAAAAAATTGTTCCAATATAGGAAGCAATCTAAATAGGAATAAACCTAAACTAGGATACACAATCTTTACACTAATTAGGAATAAACCTAAACTAGGAAACACAATATTTACTTTAATCACAAAGATTTCAACACTCCCCCTCAAGTTGGTACATAGATGTTACTCATGCCCAACTTGCAAATGTTCCTTTGGTATGTTATCAAGTGTTAGAAATTAAAGGAAAGAATATGTTTGTATTTCTTTCATTGTTGTTATATTTTTTCCAACTTCTTACTCCCACTATAATTATAGATACAAAAAAAAATTGTTCCCAATATAGGGAAGCAATCTAAATAGGAATAAAACCTAAACTAGGATACACAATCTTTACACTAATTAGGAATTAAACCCTAAACTAGGAAAAACACAAATTTACTTTTAAATCAGCAAAGAATTTCAACACTCCCCCTCAAGTTTTGCGTAACATAGATGTTAACTCATGCCCAACTGCAAACTAAAGGATGAAAAACAACTTGCTATTGCAAACCCTTTGTGAGAACCAGGTTTAGCTAGTTGCTCTTTTGAAGCTATACGCCCTAGGCATACAACTGTATTAAACACCTATCCCGACAGCTATCTCTCTCTCATTTTCTACAAACTGAGTATCCGACTACCGATCCAATTCACTCTACTTGTGCTGTCAGATCTCAGATTCTATGCATCGGACATGGATTCTATCCCTATAATGGTTAGCGCATTTTACTTATCCAACATTCGATCATGCTGGACTGGATTATTCATAATACTGATGGCTGCTTTACTATCACAAATTAAGGATATATTTGTTGTTTCAACCAACTTTAAATCTTCTATTAATCTGCGCAACCATAGAAGTTCACAGATTCCTTGTGCCATAGCTTTATATTCAGCTTCTGCACTAGATCTTGCAACAATAGCCTGCTTCTTGCTTCTCCATGTGACCAGGTTTCCTCCAACAAAAACACAGTAACCTGAGGTTGATCTCCAGTCATCAAGGGAACCAGCCCAATCCGCATCTGTATAGCCTGTTATTGTTAAATGGCCATGTTTAGAAAATAAAAGTCCTCTATTTGGAGCTGATTTAAAATATCTTAGAATTCGATGCACTGCTTCTAAGTGAGACTCCCGAGGGTCATGCATGTACTGACTCACTGAACTTACAGCATAGGCAATATCTGGTCTAGGGCAAAGGTAATATCAACCTCCCGGACCAATCTCGCCTGATATCTGCCAATATCAACTGGACACTTCCCCACTCTAGCTTTGAAGGCGTATGAGTGTTGGCGTTCCCAATAGGTCGATTCTGCAGCAGAGTTTACGATCCAACATACCAGTTTCTTTAAGGCAGATCAAGGAGTGTTGTTAACTTTTTCTCTGAGAAATGAATTTGAGAAATAAAAATCCCTTTTTCTGATCTAGCAACTTCTATCCCAAGGAAATATCTCAACTTTCCCAAATCCTTAATCTCAAACTCCCTAGCTAACGAATTTCTCAAGTGAGTCATTTCTTCTTCATTATTTCCAGTCATCACTATATCATCAACATAAACAATAAGCAATATGATCTTACCTTTATGACGTTTAATGAACAAAGTATGATCAGCATCGCTCTGAATGTACCCAAAAGAAAGCATAGCTTTACTAAACCTCTCAAACCATACTCTTGGTGATTGCTTCAGCCCATATAATGACTTCTTCAGCTTGCAAACTTTTCCTTTGGTCTTGTCATCATCAATCCAGGAGGAATCTCCATATGCACCTGTTCTTTCAAATCATCATGTAGAAAAGCATTTTTAACATCAAATTGATGTAATTCCCAGTCAAGATTGACTGCACAAGATAATAAAATTCTGATTGTATGCATCTTGGCTATAGGGGCAAAAGTTTCCTAGTAACCAATGCCATATGTCTAACTGAACCCTCTGGCTACCAATCTAGCCTTGTACCTCTCAATGGAACCATCTGCCTTATGTTTAACTGTGAACACCCATTTACATCCAACTGGTCTTGTTACCTCTCAAATGAACCATCAGCCCTATGTTTATAAACTTGGTGAACACCCATTTTACATTGCCAATTGTGGCATCCTATCACTGTTCCTGCGTGGAGAGAGTCTACCAATATCCCGTCTCATTTTTTGCCAAAGCTTCCCTCCAATCGGTCCTCAACCATTGCAGCCTTTCTGCAGCCTTCCATTTTGAGTCCTGTAATGTATCTTGCCAATCTTGCGGTATAGAAACAGAAGAAACAGACAAAACAAAGGCTCTATAGGAAGTGGACAGAGCATTATAGGAGATAAAATGGGAGATGGGATGTTTAGTGCATGTTCTAACTCCTTTTCTAAGAGCAATAGGAATATCAAGATCATTGTCAGAAGGACTGGAATCAAGATTAGGATCAGAAACAACAGGAATTAAAGAAGACTCACCAAGTTCTTGTTATTCTGTATCTTCAGGGACTGAAATTGGAGAGGACGGTTGATCAGAGGTCTCATGCTCCATGGTTGTATCTGTATTAGTCTGCCGTGTGTAGGATCTAATTTGCTTAGACCATTATGATGAACAAAGCAAACACAACCAAAGACTATGAACAAAAAGCAAATACACAACCAAAGACTTTAAGGAGGTACAATATAAGGAGTCTTTTTCCTTGAAAGGAACTCTGGTGGAAAGTTTTAAAAATTTAAAAATGTACGACGCATACGAATGAATTTAGGTAAGCAGCAGTTCAAACTTACCATCCCCCATAATTATGGTTTGGGAAGATTCATAGTGAACATAAAGGACCTAGCTACGTCCAAGTATAAAGTCCTTATTTTTCCTTTCCGCTACTCCATTTTGATAAACTAGTATGGAAAACCCACAACTAGTCTTGATGGTATAATACCATTGAGAATTCTAAATAGGTACGAAAAAGATTGCATTGCATGTATTTCAGTACATATCACCTTTTCTTAGCGCATACAAAGCTGGATACACAATCATTTTTACTGGGAAGTTCTGAAAACACGTGAAAAAACTTCATTTTTTGGTCTTTTCTTCATCGAAATAACCCAAGACAAGTCTAGCTGCAAAACAATTCAATAAATAAGGTCCACACAAACCAATCTATAACCAGAAAGAGGAGACAGGTTTTAGTAGGACCCCAACGGTCAGAATGAAATAGTAGGCAAAAGGAATCAAATTCTTATTATTAAATTGGAGAATGAAAATGCCGTGGCGTGTTTTGCAAGTTCACAAAAGCATCAACATACTAATGAACAAATTCACATTTTAGCAAACAAAGTGGGAAATAAACGTCCTAAAACAGACAAAAGAGGGGATGGTCCTTATATTCTCCTAATGCCATTGAAATTAATTCGCATGGGAAGGCATTTCTAAAGTTCTAAACAGAAAGCTTGATGGTACCCGCGAATGGTTTGACACAAATGAACAAAACGTATCAATTCAACAACAGAATACAGTCCCATCACGCAAGGCTACCCCACTACCAATATTGTTCCCCCGTGTTTTATTCCTGAAATATACAATGAGTGTAGAGTCAAAAAAGCGTGACTTCGCAATGAAGTTGCTTTTGTGATTAACGCTAAGCAGATAACAAAACATTAATAGGAAATCTAGGAACCCATGAAGAACAGGCGGGAGGTGAGTGTTTAATATTTGGAAAGTTTAACAGGTCAATAGAACCGCGTTGCCAGGCAATTTGGTACTAAGGAGCCATCACGCAATGCGAATTTTGTTTGTGCCCTTGATACTTAGGAATACTGCCGAGAAACTGGTTTTTTTAGAGCCTGTTGTATGTTTATTTGCTCCTGCGAATCTATAACCCCAAAAAGGGTTTTGCAATTTTGCAAGAAGGGTAGGTGAACAGCCAATTACCTGAATTAACTAAAATTAGAGGCTTGCAGTTTGAGGTTGAGGACGAATCAAAGCTGTGACAAACCCAATTCGATTTCAGTGACTGGCAATCTCCTTATCAGAAAAGCTCTCCCAGCTACGTAGATGCGATCCTCAAGATTAAAGCTTCCGCTGATTAGCATATGTGTGCCTGTTGGTCTAGAAAACCTACCCCTTTCCTCCACGCCCTCCTTTAGTTGGAGCTCCATGGGCTTTCCTCCACGCCCCTTAGTTGGGCGTCCATGTAATTTCCAGCAGAACTCCTTAGTGTGCTTGTTCTTACCGCAATAGTCACAAAATAATTGATCTCAATCTGAAAAACTGCTCTTTTCTCTTGCAGAATAAGCAATCAACCCTACTTTGTCAATGGTAGATTTGTGAACCATAGCGTTCCTCCTAGTCTCCTTTTACTTTACAAATGAGTATGCTTGTCGTTGGACTCGAATCTAATCATACTCGTTATTTAGGCCAGCCAGAAAATCATACACACGTTCTACTTCAATCAACTTCTGAACTTGAGTTGCATCATTAGTACATCATTAGGTACATTCTGTGCTTGAAAAAGTTCTTGGATAATAATCCAGTTTCCTGCCATAAACCCACTAAGTACGGCAAAAAATACCATGAGTGATAGTCAGATGCCTCCCGCTTTGACGGTTTTCATGAAACTTTTCTGTCGCAATTTCATACCTCTGAGCATTGTTTCCAGTTTGTGAATACGTCTGTGAAGCAGCCATCCAATATCTTTCGTAGTTGAATCAAAGAAGGCTATAATCCTGGGGGAAATAAGTTGGCTGCATGGGAAATTTAACTCATTAACTTAAGAACGTAATTAGACAGGAATTCTCGGATTTCCACTTGTTTTAAAAGCCGGGGATCTGTTCGAAACTGGTTTGTTGCTTCCACCATCAAGGTATCCTTAACAAACCTTTTAGCTTCAATGGATATAAAAACAAACAAGACCGAGCAACCAAGCCAGGTGAGTTTGTTCCATCTACTTCACGCGGACTAATCTGAAAGTTGAGGGCTCGTTTGAGTTGAAAAAAAAAACCATATCTACCTTCTTTTCCGTTTTTCAACCATAACTTTTAAAAAAAACAAGAGACAAAAAAAAGAAAAAATTAAACGGGCCAGCAATTGATAAAAAGGGCAAGCAGCGGTAAAAAGGCAGCAGCAGTGGCTGGAAAACGGGGGGAAAAACAACATTACCTAAAAAGGGCAAAAAACTTGGTGCTGATAGAAAATCTTAAGTATAGTCTGGAGTCACGCACAAACCGAAGTCTCGACGGGTCGCCGGAAACAAGGGAATCGTCGGACGGAGGCTTGCCGGACAAACAACAGCCGCAGCGGCTCGGTCTGCAGACCACTTTACAAAACCTAAAACTGTTGCCCGAAAAAATTTCACAGCAATGGCTCTGATACCATGGTAGAAAAATTAAAGGACTAATATGTTATTTATTTCTTTTCAATTGTGTTATATTTTTCCAACTCTTTTACTCCACTATTATATATCGCAAAATATTTGTTTCCAATATAGGAAACAATCTAAATAGGAATAAACTTTAAATTTGGAAAACACAATCTTTACACTAATTAGGCAATAACTAAACTAAGGGAAACATCAATTCTTTACACTAATTAAGAAATTTAAACCCCTAAACTAGGAAACACAATATTTACTTGTAATCACAAAAGAATAAACCTAAACTAGGAAACATAATCTTTACACTAATTAAGAATAAACCTAAACTAGGAAACACAATATTTACTTTAATCACAAAGATTTCAACATCAAGAGCAAGAATGCTTACGATGGACTAGCGGGATGCTAATTGAAGACTAAATGTTACCCACTAGAGCTTAGTGGAAATTGGTATCTTAGGTTTTTGCTACAACTCTCCACTTGTTTCTTTAAATATGAAGTTGGTGATGACTTTCGTATTTATTTCTGGAAGATTTTTGTCATGGCCAATACCGTTTTCATCATCTTTATTGATTTTTTTGTGTTTAATAAAGCCCCTATCCTAATTTTGGCCCATGGCATCTGTACTCTTTCGTGGAATAATTGGGAGATTGAGAATTGATATTTCCTGTTAGTTTTGTTGGGTTCTGCTTAATTCTCTCATAAAGCAGATAGGAGTTTGTCTTCTGATTCCTCTGGAAAGTTGTCTTTGTAAACCTTTCCATTTGCATCATATTCCTCTTAAGATCATTAGTTTCACGTATCCAATAAAATTTGAAAACTCAAAAATTGCGACTCAGGGTAAGGGCTTTTGTCAAGGCTATAGTTGTGCAGAAGGTAAATCCTAACAACCTTTTGTAGAAACTGAAAAAAAAAAGCCTATGTATTAATGTTACAAAGTTTGGTGAGACTTATTCTAGCTTGTTTCCACATTATGAGGTGGCTTGCGATTAGGGGTCGTCCTTTTACTATTTTTGTGGGTTGTCCAGAATCTTCGGAGACTTGTTTTTTCTGAATGGAAAGAACTTGATGGTAGGATAGACGCCAAAAAGTCTTTGAAGTTGTGCATTTTCCTTTTATTTTATTTTATTTTTTTCTTTTTGATTGCTATTTAAGTCTGGATGAAAAGAACGTGTAACAAAAATTCAGAGTGTATCCTTTAGCTTGTTGTGGGACAAGGTGATTTGGCTTCTATAAATGTTTATGTTTTCAGAGTTCTGTAAGTGTTTATGGCTTCTATAAGGTGATTTGAATGTTATCCAACTTAATTGGAGAGCATTAATTTTTCAGCTTATGTTTGATATTCTTATAATGCACTCGATGATGCATGATGTTTGCCAAATTGCCAAGTTTTTGTTAACAGGGATATCAGACAGGACCAATGTAGAATTTGGGGATGTTTGTCTGTGTAGAGTGTTTTTGGCTTACCAATATGAGCATAATCCCAGTTCTCTCAGTTAACTTCAACCATATGTTGCCAACTGATGTCATATAATCTTTCAGTTGAAATATTTCTTTTCGAATAAAATTCTGGTGACCAAAATATTGCTCTAATCTGTGTATAATAAATTGGCAATTTCATTTGTTTCGCTTTTAAAGGAATTTACCAAAGATAATAGAAGCATTAAGTGTTGATGGATCTGGTGGACAGCAGATAAAATCATCAATGGTTGATATGTCATCAGGTATTTGTACTGTCCTCATCCCTCTCCTTTCATGTTATTGTGACAGAATTTATACTGATCCTTTGGATTTTGTTTCTATATGATACCCTTCAGGGAAAACCTGGGTTTCTCCATCAGAGAGATATGCTGTTGTTCCTGATGAATCTGTAAGCTTATTTTTACCTTTTTACTGGTACCAAAGATGGGACAGATTTAACCTTCATGTTCAGGATTTTCATTTTCCTCATTGATTAAATATGAACTTACATGTGGAGATGCCAATTCTAACGTGCTTTGATATAACCGAATACATAAATTCACTTTTGAACTTTGCAACTTTAGTCTTGTGACATCTCGAACTTTGTGGATGACATATTGTGCACTTAAACTTATAAATTTTGGTAACATTGAAGTATTTAATAAAGTGATTTTGCAAGTTAAAGTGTTTTTTTTTTTTTTTTTTTTTTTTTTTTTGTGGATTGAGCAATATTTGTGCACTTAAACTTATATCATTGTTGGTAAACCATTGAAGTATTTTAATAAAGGGATTTTTGCAAGTTAAAAGTGTTTTTTTTTTTTTTTTCTTTTTTTTTTTTTAATGGTGCTTTTTTTTTTTTTTTTTTTTTTTTTTTAATGGTGCAAGTTGAAGTGTTTAAGAGGTATAATTTTATAAATTGAAGTGTTTAATTTGTTTTGAAGGCGCCAAAAAATTATGGGTCTGTTCGGAAAAATTAGTTGTTTTGGTAGCTGTTTGCTGTTTTCGTCGTGTTTATCTGTTACCTATTAGCTATTTGAGTAGCTTTTCATAAATGCTCAAAGTTAAACGTTACTTAAGTTAACTTTTTATAAAACGCTACCTTAACCTGTAAAAGCTAGTTCAAATGCATGTTATTTAACACTATACAAAATAACGTTTAGCATTTTATTTGCATGGTTTGACAAAATAAACATATTAAGAATTTAGTCAATGAAAGTTATTTTGTTTTTTTTTACCCTTAACTAAATATTAATAAAAGTACTTCATTTAATGAAGGATCATAAAGGTTATCATGATAATTATAATTGTTTACTTATATAAATTTAGAAAATTTGCGAACATTTTGAGACATTTAAAAAGAAATAACAAGCAAACAAAATGAGACTGAGAGAGTATTATAATGCAGTAATATATTTTTTTTCTTACCACATTGTTGTCTTGCTTTGCTCCAATTCCTATTATGGCGTGGATGACAATGTCAGAACTCACTGGCCTCTGCTGTATTCCAATTCCCGGTGCTGTTCGTATTCAAATTATTGATGCATATGCTAAATAGTGATGGAATTGTTATGATCACTTGTTATAAGCAAGTAACAATGAGAAAAAGATGCTAAGTGATAATTCAGTTCATCAGATTTGGTTGTTAAATATGTGACCATGAATACAATGTAATAAGATCATTGATAGATTGAATTATGGTAATGAGTTCTGATGTAATTACTTTTCTGATGGGTGCAGGGACAAACGGCAGGTTCCGGTAGAGGGAGTGATGTAAGTGTTCCCGAGGGTGATGTCAAACGAATTCGCATTTGACAGCCCAAAATTCACACAATATTGCAGGAATAATCTATTCCTGTTACTCATGTCGTGGTCCCTTCTTCCGGATCACCCTTACACCCTTTTTGAATCTTGTCTGTGAATGTAAATTCCTACAGTCGACTAGAATTATCTTTTGCTCGTCTACAATCTTGAAAGGGAGTAAATATCAACCGAATTCAACTAATTTAACTGTGCGATAAATTTCTTATGCTTATTAACTCATTATTCACCTAAAAAGAAAAAAAAAAAAAGAGATCTATGGGCTTGTCTGCCTGTCTTGGAAAATCATTGGGTGAGCCTGGTATGCTAAGGAATAGAAGCACTTTGTATTATTCACAAACACATGGAATCTATCCGAATTAAGGTTCCGTTTGGTGAGCAGTAATGTATTTACACTAGAAACGCTTTTAATTACATTACTTACAAACATTTTATTACAGCTCATAGATAAACAAAAGGATAAGTAATTAAGTATGCATTGTAATGGTTTCACTAAAAATTTAGCCATCTTTCAAAAATTTTAAAAATAAAATTGCCGGAGCAAAATAGAAACCAATTTTGAATATTCTGGAGGTTTCATTTGGTTTTTTCATCCTAAATAACTCTAAAAGGCACAACAATTCGTTTTAATAGACATTTGACGAGTTTTTCTAACATTGATTTCATTGTTTTTGACAGCTTAATCTTGAATTTCACTATGACTAGTTGTAATTTTACTCCAAATCGATTTTTATATATTGGGTACTCTGAACTTATCGGCTTAGTTGCAATTATACTTTAATATGCTTATAAGATGTAATTGTACTCTAAAAATGAATTACAACATTCTGAATTTGTTGATTTATTGCGATTGCACTCTAAAAGCAAATTAACATTAAAATTTTGATTAAAATAATATAAAAAATGACTCCGTAACCAACCCATGTATTTGAACAATAAATAATAAAATTTAATCCAAGTATCTATATAATAAATAAATAAATAAATGGTGATTCCTTTGTCACTGTCGGTAGCCATCATTAAATTTCTTACAATGGGAAAAAATAGTAAGCTGAAGGACAAAAAGACAATAATTAATTTTTTCTTTTAATTTAAATGTTATGTTTTACGTTTAACTAAGTTTAGATTGGTTATGAAGTACATTTTTATATTTTTTTTAATTAGAGTTTCAAGGTGAAATTGCAATAAATTGACAAAGTTCAGAGTGTTTAATTCATTTTTAAGATGCAATTGCACCCTAAAAACAAATTAAAGCGTAATTACAAATAGATTGATAAATTTAGGGTGCCTAAAATACAAAAATCGATTTAAGTTAGATATTTATGTAGTGCAAAATGTATAATATAGATATATTCTAATATTATACATTGACCTTTAATGATATTATACATCTACACTACACAAATATCTCATCCATCAATGGCATTTCTCTTTCAAAGACTGAAGATTATGGTTTTTGTTCTGCAGCCCCATATATATCTCAAATAATAATCCACCACCTCAAAATAAGGAACTGCGATAATACTAGGAGTATATTTGGCAATATTAACTGTTCTAGTAGTTGTTAACTATTTTAATAATTGTTAGTTGTTAGCTCGTTAAGTATCGATTGAAAGTGAAATTATTTGGTAAAAACATTTGTTGGATTGACAATTAAATTTAAAATGATAAACACTACATTATTCACTTATAGCCATAAAATTAAACTTATTATAAAAGAGATGATTTTACTAAACCTACATTTTCAAAATTTAAGGGAGAAAAGAATGAAAAGTTCTATTTTATAAATAAAATTGAAAATTTTTAATACTTTAGGAGAAATATTTTTAATTTTTATTATTTGCTTGAGTTCAAATGCAAATATATAAACAAACATTTTTTTTCTTTTATTATCAATTGTAAAAAAACCCAAGCATAAAAAATAATATAAAGAAATATAAAAATTGTGAAATTATAGTTGTTCAAACTTGAGAACAAAATAAAAGCACTAAACATATATATAGCATAGTTTAAATATAAAATAATTATTTTTGAACCAATGAGTCGCACCTATCCATGATAATTGACTTGAACATTTTATCAATCTATACCGTATATAAATGTGGAAATAAAGGAAGGAAGATAATGTGATTTCTAATAGCGTCCTTAATAAAATTTGAAATATTCTAAAATAATTTTAGTCATAGCCAATTAGAAAATTAAAATTTTATTAGTTGATTTGATATAATTTATATAAATTATTTTTTAAATAAATATAATTGACTTGAACATTTTATCAATATATCACCGATAATAATAAATTACGCTGGAAATAAAGGAAGGAGATAAATGTGCAATTTCTAAATCAAGCCGATCCTTAATAAAATTTGACAATCATCTAAAATAAATTTTTAGTCATTAGCCAATTAGAATGAATTTTTAGTTGAATTTGATATATTTATACCTAAATTAATATTTTTAACATAATAGATAAGATAATTAAAAATTTTTAAAAATTTTAGGTTTTATCTTTTTTTAATAATATATATATCGATAATGAAGACCATTTCTGAATTATTATATTTTATTTATTTATATTTTATTTTCATTACTTTGATTCTAATTTAAATATTTTATTTAGGAATGACGATAAAAAAGTTATATTATATATTATATATTATTTAATATTTTTTTCTTATGTTTGTATCGATTTGAATTTGATACATTTTTTAAAAAATAAATTTTTATATAGAATATACATTAATATTTTATTTACAAGAGAGATAAAAAAGAAAAGTGATTTTTCTTTATCTTTTGGTAGGTCTTGTAAGAAAAATTGATCAATTTATCTCTCGAGATAATAAAACGTTTCTTTTATGTTCTTTATGTTTGTATGATTTGATTTGATACATTTTTTAAAAAATAAATTTTCATATAGAATATACATAATATTTTATTTAAGAGAGATAAAAAAGAAAGTGATTTTCTTTTTTTGGTATGGTTTTAAGAAAAATTGATAATTTATTTCGAGATAATAAAACGTTTCTTTTATGTGATTTGTTTATTAATTAATTAACTTTTTTTTTTAAAAAAAATTACAACTTAGAACAATGAGAAAAAAAATACTTAAAAATAAATCCATTAACTGTTATGGCCCGTTACCTTGAGCCGGACCGACACCAAGACCTGGATAGGCTTAAAGCCACCAAAGCCTATAGTAAGTCAAAAGTATACCAAACAAATTTCATGTTCAATAGAAATGGCCTCAGGTCCAACATTATTAACATTTACATATTATAAGTCTTGGGCTCGTTTGACCCGATTCATCATATTCAATAATAAATCAATTTTAAAGCTCTCTAGACCCCAATCAATATATTATATGATAGAAACTTTAATAAGTCATACATCAATAATTTTTAATTTATTATACAAAATTATCGTAATTGCGGAATAATCTAAGAACTTAAAATTTCAATTTATTTATTAAGATATCTTCTAGGCGTCTGGAGACAAAGGACAATGAGTTATTGGAAGACCTGTAACCTGAAAAAAAATATTAAGGCGGGATGAGCGCCTAAACGCAGTGAGTAGATTAGTTAACCCTCTTACCCCACACAATCACAAAAATACATAAATAAATCAATCTAGTCATCCGACTAGTTATATGATCATGCAATTGATCATACAAATGACATAACAATAGCAATCACAAATATTAACACCTTCACATAATCACATCACGTGGAAATTGGTCACTGGCGTCACCAAAACCCTCGACGAGCCATCCACACATATGGCCCACCCTCTCATCACATATGCACCAGGGAGCTGTCCTCATACATGATTGCCCGGTCTCAACCTTACTTGACTAGCGTTCTCATTTTTTATACTCTCTTTTCTTTCCCATATCAATAGGAGGCCACTCTGTTTTCTATATCATATTTCATCAGATGCACACGGAGGCGCTGATCTCCCCATACATAGTCGACAGTATCATAAACCGCTCTCACAAATCCAACGGTGACCTACTTCATTCCAATTCCACACAAGCAAAGCATACATAACGGATATCACAACTAATCAAACCACTTCCAATAGCAACAAATAATGCAACACCAAAGAACAATTTACTAAGTAATGCATGTTTAGCATTTAGCCGTGTATGCATGGATGCAAATGCAGGTGGATGATGCTAATTATCTAACACTACTCACTGTTATACAGTTTAGTTAGAAGCTATATTCCTTTCTCGATACTCTGCCATTTGGAATTTGATTCCTCGAGACCTGCAAGAATATCTAAAGAAAGAATCAAAATAAGTTTACTATTCATGAATTCTAAGTGTCTTTTCTAAATTCTAATTATAATATTGTATCTATTTTTCTCCAATTATTTAATCCAGATATTCTAGACCGACATAATTCCTTTATCTTGGTTTCGTAATCTTAAGTTTCCTATTGCAATCTATATATGTTATACATGCTAATCTAACCTCATGATAATTCTTTAACTAAACAATCTTCTATAAATATTAATTATTGAAAATAAAAATCAGCTAATTTCATTATTTAAGTTTGTCCTGCCGAAATCCGGCAGCATCTCCCCTAAAATAGAGTTGTCTACCTATTTCAAACAATATCAAACATTGAATGTGCACAGCCCATCCATCGGGCAAAATAACTCAATAAGCCCATCCTCCATTATTTCAACATCAAACTATGTCACCTATATCATTTGTTAATTACAGTTACATCAAAATCATGCATATTTAATTATATATATGTATACTTGTATATTTACACATATATTAGTAAATTGTGTCATTAAAATTTAACTAGTTAACATGGCAGTCCGTATCCTCTAATTTGGCTAAATTAAACTAGACTAAATTAGAGTTTAGCTAAATTAACTTAATAAATCTATATGAACATAAGGAACTTATGAGACTAATTAATGCCTGAAATATTCAAATTGGCTAATTATTATTCTTGAAGCATTCTGCCATACCATTATCATTAATATACAATTCAATTTATATGTTGATCAACCAAATCTATTAAATAAGGAAATTAAATATTCGCATCCCAAAATCCTATAATTTCTTGTAAATCAACTAAGCTTGATTAAGTTTTGATAAGTTAACAATTTATAATTTGCTAATTCTTTTCAAAGACTTAAACCTCGAATAACAATTAGCTTAATGAAAACTTACTCACATTCTCTACTAATTCAAACCTGAATTTATATTGCCAAGTTAAATTTAAAATCTACTTGCTAGCTATATTATTAAGTTTCAATAGTCAAAAGCCAAGTTCAAATCCTAAAGAGGAATAAACCATGAAATTGCAATTAGCTTAGAATTTGAAGTTTATTGCTCACTAGTCAAGATTTGGCCTATATCATTGTGTTCCGCGGGAAAAGCTGGAGATTTTGCCTCTTGATTCCTTGCCGAATAGTGCCAGTTGGTCACCGGACCGTCGCCACCGGCCACTGTGCATAGTGATCAGAACATCGAACTTCACCAAAACTTACAAACAATACATCATTTTATTCATTTCGACGAGAGGATCACTAATATGTGATCAAATCAAGATGGGTGTGAAAGGTTTGGTGGTGACCATTTTGGGTTTTCCGATTCCGGCTATAACAGTCGGTGGGAAGACCATCAAATGAAAGAGGGAAAGAGAGGAGTTGTTTGGTACTGACCTCACGCCCTAGGCTTTCCCGAAATGGTGTGAATCATTGGAAAACGGTACTGCAATGGTGCCGAACTTTTTTGCACGTGATTTTCTCTCAATCCATGCGACTGATGTGTGAACTGAGGTTCCATTGTGCTTCCTTGCATCGAGTAGATAATTTTAGAGTCCTCACTTGCAGGATTCCATGCAGTTTCGGCTGGGGAACGGGAATGAAAGGGGAGGGGAAAGGTGCTCGCTTGTCGTGAAAGGGAGAAGGAGATGAGATAAAAATTTTCTCTCTCCTAACCCTATTGGCTAAAGGTGGAACCGGTTTGGTTCTTAGAAGAATCTAGGTTTTAGCTGGTTCGATTTGGTTTTTAGAGTTTCTCAAGTGGTTCAATTGATTTTAGTTGGTTTCTATTAGTTTGGCCTAGTCTTATTTTTGTGTTTAATTTATTTTCCAATGGTTTTCAAGCAGTTTGATATATTTTAATTGATTTAATATTTAACGTCCATTATTAATCCTTAAGAAGTTTAGAATGTTCTCGACTAGGAGTTTCGATAATATGTTTTGGGCTTCAGCTCAACTCTGAAAACTTGGACTCGGATTAGAATTATATGGTATTTGTAACCCATACAGTCGAAAATCTAGATTTTTGATTTAATTAAAATTTGAAAGTTTTGAAATTAAAATTACGAGATGTTTCAGTCTTTCCCCCTTAAGACAATTCATCCTCAAATTGAAATTTAGTAAGGAAGAGTAGGAATGAACACACAGGTGATTTGAAGATCATAAGAAATACTTCAAATACAAAGGAGATAGCTTAAGAGCAAATAATATAGACTGAGCGAAGGGAGGGGTGGGGGGTATTCTGATTGTACTTCTATCACCAACCATCATATTACTTTTCTACAGAAGCTTCCTCTAATGACCTCGAGAGGATAATTGCACTTCAAACCAACCCTTCTAAGGTCGCTTCCTTGGACTGATTTAGTTCATAAGACTTTCCGTTAATTCTTATCTTTCATCCCAACAACTCTCTAAGATCTTGTTTTCATTTTTCCTATATATATATATATATTCACATATCCCAAAATATCCAACGTACACCTATTGCCAAAACACTAAATCTTGATGTGAAATAAGGATGCCATTTGAGGCAAAAGCTTTTAATTTCTTAGAACTAAGAAAAGGGTTTAGACTAAGAGAAATGAGGCCTTGTGACTTAATAGCTGGATGTATTTTCCTTTATTCTATATTAAATAGCATAATTCTTAAGCATTTTCTAACTAAACTTTTATAACTTGTCTGCTTTGAGTTCCAAGTCAAGCACTTAAAAGCAAACCATCAAGGTTTCTATTCTTGGTTATATACATATAGGGTCAATTTATAATGCTGTCAGATTTGACACTACATAGATTGAGGAGGCAATATTTGCTCAAACTCCTTATTATATTACTTAAGTTCTCTATATCCTGCCATGCCCATACACTACTAGCTTACTTCATAATTACATTCGATCTATGTTTATAACAGACTCTATCCTACATACTTAGACACTACTTAGCTACTATTGGAATTGAGCGACTTCAAAGTTCTTGAAATGGCATTGATGCCACTGCACTAGCTTGGTCTGCCAAAGAAAGGTTTGAAGATAGGTTAATTGTTCCTCCGTCTCTAGGTAGAACAAGGAAGAGTAGAAATCTTGATGAGGTAAATGAGGTACTTGGGGCTATACATACTACATTATCCATTAAGTCTGCAAAATCCATCACTAAACAATACTAAGATTGCTACCAAATGAATAGGCTTTTTAATGTTCCTCCGTCTTAGGTAGACAAGGAAGCAGCTAGAATTTGATGAGGTAAATGAGTATGGGCTCATACATACTACATTCATCCATTTAAGTCTGCAAAATCCAATCCTAAAACAATAGCTAAGATTTGCTACCAACATTGAGGAATGAGTTTAAGCAATATTATTAACTTCAACCCAACCAAAATTTATGAAAATTCTCCAACCTGACTGTGGCCTCGCAACCAACAAACCTCCAAATCTCAAACCAAAGCTAGCAATATAAGCATTCAACTTTAGTTATCTTGTCTTACAGAACACTCTGATTTCACTAATATTTTCGTATCTCTTACTTATTCAAATAAACACCCAATGCGACGATTCCCCCATACAGGCTACTGAGCACTTCTCGCCTTGTAAGCACTAAACTTTAAACTAAGGAACTTCACCGCCTACACAATGATTTATAATTTTATTTCTTAACTTACTTCAAATAAAAACCATGGAGATTCCCATACAGGTACTGCACTTCTCGTGTAGTAAAATTAAACTAAGAATTCCCTAAAATTCCCAATGAACAGTAAATTAAAACCCAGCTAACTTATTAACAAAGAAAATACCCCAAATACCCTTATGTTCTACTAAGGACATAAATATAACATTCCTTTTCTATCCAATAAAATAAGTAACTAGCAAAAGATGCACTAAATAATAAGAATTCCTTGTTTTAATTGCTTCACATCAAGAAATTATATTTATTTACATTCGTTGTCATCTCAAGCAATATCCCATGATTCTTTATTAATTCTCATCCTTAGTTATTATTATCAATAATACTTGTCATTTGCACTTATACATCTACAGGCTCAGTATATAGGTTCAATTGATATAAGAGAAAATAATTAATTCGTCCTTGAGTTTTGATCAAACTAACTAAGTCATCATTGCAGTTTGACAATATTAATTAATAGTCCTCGAGATTTACCTCCGTCAAACCACTTAGTCCTTCTGTCCATTTTCTCCAGATTTTTCCGTTAAAACCTTTTTAAAAGACTAAAATACCCTAATAGATAAGAATTGAAAATAATTAATTCGTCCCTGAGATTTGACCAAACTAACTAAGTCATTCCTATAATTTAGCAATATTAATTAATGATCCCTGAGATTTACCTCTGTCAAACCATTTGGTCATTTTATTTATTTTCTCCTGATTTTTCTGTTAAAACCATAAAAAAAAGACTAAAATATCATTATACTTAAGAAGAAAAAGACTAAACTAATCTACGTTATTTGCTTTATAATGGAATGATAGTTAAGTCTTATCAAATTTACAACTGAAATTCTGCAAAAACGATGATTTTTTTTTATTTTCTAAAATATTCTTACTATTTCTATAATCCTACCTTCATTTCATTAGTTATTGTAATGAAATATATAAAATAACTTGTTCTCTTGAATATTGATACCTAATATTAAATGCCTATTATTTTTTATTGAAATTAACTTGATGTATATTTTTCTTTTTTGTCGTTTTATTGGTGGCTCAAGACAGTAAAGTGGCACATTATGTTGATAAAAAAAATTTTTTTTTAAGTGAATATCAAATAATCAATATATACCCTAACTCTTCGTTTTCCTTCCACGACAAATGGAAATTCTAACTTAGGTTAGTTTAGTCTTTTTTTTTTCTCTTAAATATTAGGGTATTTTAATCTTTTTTTTTTTTTTGAAGGTTTTAATAAAAATCTAGAAAAAATGGACGGAATGACCAAATACAGAAGTAAATCTCAGGGATTATTAATTAATAATACAGAAGTAAATCTCAGGGATTATTAATTAATATTGTTAAACTGTAGGAATGATTTAGTTAGTTTAATCAAACCTCATGAACGAATTAATTATTTATCCTTCTTAAGTGTCAGGGTATTTCAGTCTTTTTTAAAGGTTTTGACGGAAAAATCTAGAGAAAATAGATGGAAGGACCAAGTGGTTTAACAGAGGTAAACTTCGGGGACCATTAATTAATATTGCCAAACTACTGGATAACTTAGTTAGTTGGGTCAAGCCTCAGGGCGAATTAATTATTTTCCCTTGATATAACTCATAAAATTTTTTCTAACTAGGTCCTATCAAGCTAAAGAAATCAGAATTTTCTGATTAGAATCCATACATTTCTTGCCCAGTAACTCCTTTCGCAATCAAAACTTGATTTAAAATATTATATATTCATACCATAAGCTATAATTCAACGGTCAATTAAAATGGCTGTTGCCAACCTAAAAAAAAAAAAAAAAATAAAAATCAAGATTTCTCCTAAAAAAAAAAAAAAAAATCAAGATTCTTAATTAAATTTCATACTATATAAACTAGTTAATTCATTTACTAACAAAAATTCAATTTACCTTCTCATATATCTTAAGTCAACGCACTAATTTTTAACAAAGAATTAGATTAGCTGCTGCCATATAAAAATCAGTCTTATTTCTCGATGAAAACTGAAATAACTAAACATACTTATCAATTTCAATTGTGCTTAAGGTTGACAGTTTAATCAAAGATTTTTCTCAAATTTGCATATAAACGGTACCTTAGATTAAAGCTAACTACTATCACAATCGTATTTGAAACAACCTGAAATGTTATTTTCCAAAACTGATCAAATTAAATTTAATTTCAAATGCCATGTAAATTTTATTTCGCAAATTAAATTATTATGCAATATTCAAATTGGTTTCATTTATGCAAATCAAATAAAACCCAAATAATCCAAACCCAAAACTAAGTAAACCCAAATCAAGTTCTTGGAGAAGTTGTTGAGGACTTTGTTGACTAATAATACTAATAAATAAATAATATTAGATTCTAGAACTACCTAGAAACCCACGCCATTTTTTTCATCCCCACCCATTTCTCTCTTTCTCTTTTCTCTTTCTTTTCTTTTCTTCTCTTCTCCACTACGTCTCCTTTCTCGATCGATTTTTCAGCCACCGTTCGACAGGAACTAGGTGGCAATCGAACCCACAGGCGCTGGTAATCATGTTACCTCCTCTTGGATGAGTGGAGTCCCTATTGATCACAAAGGGGTTTTTTGATTGATTAAATGCTTTATCTCAACTTGAATTCAAGTTAACACTAATTATCTTAAGATTTGAGTTGAGTTTTAAAAAAAAGAAGAATCTCCCTTAATTTTTAACAAAATCCTTCTCTAAAGCCCACTCTAAATGCCTATTTATATCCATTTGAGGGTGAAATGGCCCATCTAAAGTTGACGTGGCAAACCGTTTTGAACGCAACCGCGTCGTACGTAGACAAGATCCTCCATGTTATTATGCCTTATGAGAAAACGACAGATTGACTTGACTCTTGTGGCATTTAGATTCAAGCGCTTTATAATTAAAATTTCACTTCACATCTCTCGCACACAAAAAACTAAACAGACCCAAGTCCAACTTGGGCACTCATTAAAAAAGAAAAGTAGAGCGGACTTTGGTGGGTCCTTAAATTCACCACTTCCTAGAGTGGGCCTTTGTCGGTTTGATTTATAAGCTATATTACATTAAATTTTTTATATATAAAAGAAAAAGTTAAACCCATTCTTTAATTTTGACTTACTTTTATATCATTAAATCAGTTTAGTTTTTCAAAATTTTTTAAATACCCATATAAAAATTGAAAAATTTTTGACTTTTCGATTAAAAATAGAAGTCAAATTAAATTCAATTTCTAATCATAGATAAAATTAAAGCTTAAAACACGTCCAATATTTTGTCTAGAAAAGAAAGAGCTTAACGCATTGATTTGGCAACGTAATTTTGCTGAATTTTATAGGAGACTCGTTGTAACTGTATATTTTATATTTTAATAATAATTATACTATTAGCTAAAATAAAATGTAAGTGCAAGATAATGATTAATTGATTTTGGATAATTATTACTGAATTATAAAAGTGCGTAATTATTATTGAATCTGTAAAATTCAAAAACACTCCAATGTAGTTTCATTTTTTTTTTTTTATATATATAAATATAAAAATTCTTCAAACAAACAAAAAGATCAATAATAAAGGTTATTGATGACATTTCAACACCTCAACCCACACTCTTTAACTTATCCGATCTCTCAACTCAAGCAGCCATCATTTCAGACAAGAGAGAGAGAGAGAGAGAAAAAGCATTACAAAAAGTCCATTCCATGGATACAGAAGCTTCGCCGTAAGTTGCTCATAAAACTTTCTAACCTACCCGGAGAATTTTGACTGTCGAAAAAAAGATACATATGAATATAAATTGAATTGTTGTTATCTATGGGCAGGTTTGAAAGCAGCGAGATGCTAGCGAGTTTCTTGGCGTCCACACCATTGTTATCAGAGTCATGGAGGCTCTGTGATCTCGCCAATACGACATCGCCTCATAGTTTTGTGACAAAACATCTATGGGCAGGTTTGAAAGCAGCGAGATGCTAGCGAGTTTCTTGGCGTCCACACCATTGTTATCAGAGTCATGGAGGCTCTGTGATCTCGCCAATACGACATCGCCTCATAGTTTTGTGACAAAACAGATCGGAACTGTTGGATATGTTGCGTTTTCAGGCATCCAGGAGCCGACCTCCTGTACCAATTTGGAACCGCTTCATAGCGACATCACCAATGACCTTTTCTGTCCGTTACAAAATCGAAACGAAGATGAAGAAGAAGAAGAAAGGGAGGAGACGGTGATGGTTCATGGTAGCCTTTTACAGATCTTTCTCTCTATACATTCCAATCAGAATTTTCGAAACCAGGTCAGTTTTCTTAATTGCCTTGTGCCGTACGCTCTACCTACTTATAGTCTCTTTTGTTTGGTTTATATATATATATTAAATTAGTAATTATTTAATGCAGACAATGTTTTAGCCGGATGTGTACTTTCTATCATTTGTTTTAGAATTACACTGCATTTTTTTTTCTATAATTAGAAACAAAATTTTTTATAAGAAAAATAATTTTTTTCCCTTTTTATTTTTCTTTATATTTCTCATAAAAAATGAAAATAAAATTACTTTATTAATTTTTTTAGCTTTTTTTTTTTTTCGCATTTTTATCAACATTCAAACATAGCATTACTACTCCGCGTGTTATCAAGTTATATATGTGAATTACTGCATATAAAAATCTATTCATAAATCTCATGGCACTTTTCACTTTTATTTTGATTTGTTGAACGCTTAATTCATAAAATTACACACATTAAACACTTCGACTTGACATGTTAAATTCTTCGACTTATAAAATTATAAATATAAAATTATAAATATGAAAAAATATACAAATTTTCTTATTAAAGACATATAATTAATCTCTCTCGAGATTTAGTTCAACAAATTTTTTATAAAATATATAAAAGTCGGTTTATGTATTTAGGTATACGCAATGTGATAAAAAAGTTAAGCGGATGTTTATGTCCTTGTGGTTAATATATAAGTTTGATTAGATTAAAGTTGTGCTCGATAATAATTTTTTAAGTATTTTTTAGCGTTTTATAGTATTCAGTAATATAGCGTTTGAACTAATTTTTAAAAGTTAAAATAATATTTTATAAAAAATTAATCCATTTAATTTTTAACTTTTATCGTTTCATGATAAATTATTCAAACCTATTTATAACGGTGATACCTTAAATTGAAAGGTCCTAAATTTTATCCATCACTGTTTTATAATCAATTGATAGGATAAATTTGAGTTTATAATAGTCACAATCTTGTAAAATATTACGATAACGTATACAACGTATATCACAATATTGTAAAAAGAAAAAAAAAAGAAAAAGCTTGGCACCTTTTCCAAAAAACACAAAATATTAATTCATGGGAAGACGCGTTAGATTTTGACACGTGGACATATGGAGGGTTTGAACTTAATTCTCCATTTTATTAATGCTCCATTATTAAAATCACATTCCAACGACTAAATTGCTCTGGGACTACAATAATATATATATATTGCTCTGGGACTACAATAATATATATATATATATATAACTATATATAATATATATATATATATATATTCTTTGCTTCTGCATTTTATTCACTTAATTTCAAAATTCCTGGTTGATTCATAAAATAGAATAGAAATATATTTGATTTTAATATAAATTTAAATGTAAAGTAATTATTTCATGAAATAATTTTTTTTCCCCGCTTTACTGGAGAATCAAATGAAACCTAAACTAAAATAACTTTTTAACCCTTTTTTTTGGTAACATAACTTTTTAACCCTTTATAAAAGTAGTTTGCAATATTCACTTTTCAATAAAAAAATTAAAAGTGTAGTCTATGTAAAAGGATTAGAGACTAAAATATTTTATAAATATTACCTTAATAAAAATAATATGAATTTGAAGTGCTTTTGTGCTTTGAATTGTAGGTAGCGGTCAACAATCCACACTTGACTCACATTACAAAAAAAAAAAAAAAAAAAAAAAAAAAAAAAAAAAAGAAAGGAAAATAAATAAAAGCAAACACGGCATATGCCTGGGTGGCTCGAGATTTAGAAACGAATCAAATCAAGGGTTTAATTTTCTAGTTAATTACAAAAAATAAATTTATAAACTTAATTTTAACCAAATATATAATATAATATATATTATATAATATATATATATATATATAAAACTATATATATAGTTCTACCTGTCTTATATAGTTCTACTGTCTTATTTGAAACAATTCAGTAGGATTTTCCTGTTTCGGTTTGGAAATTTCATCTAAATCAAATCTAAGGTGGTGATTTATAAAAATTCAAATCAAATCATGAAAATTATTTAATCGAATTAAACCTATGAATGCGGCTTGATTTTTTGGTTCAGTTTGGAGATTTGGCCGCGATTTGCAAGGAAAAAAATAAAATTGTAAATATGAAAATTAAGTTTAAAATATACTATGACCATATTTAGCAACAACTTTTTAAGTAATTTTTGGTATTTTGATCGGTCAAAATGTTAAACGCTACTTTTTATAGTGTTCGATAATATAACGTTTAAACTAGCTGTTAGAGGTTAAGGTTTTATAAAAAGTTTTTAGTTTTTAGCTTTTCATGAAAGCTAATCAAACAGCTAATTGTTACACATTACTTAAATAGCTAACAGTTACTAAAACAGCTAATTTTGTCGAGCAGACCTTACATTTAAATATCAAAATAAACAACAAAAAAAATAATAAAAGATATAAAAATTAAATATAAAAAAACTACAATAACGAGAAAATAAACATAAAAAGTATTACATTGTTGAAATTTCAAATAATTAGTATAAAAAATCTTCAAACTCTAATTATCCTCCTTTATATCCTTCATAATACTTAACCTTGATCCCTAACTAAAAATAAATAAATAAATAAATAAATAAACTTTCCTATTAATTTTACATCAAATAAAAAATTACTATTAAAATAAATTACTCATATTTAATTATTTTGTCCATTTTTTTTCAAATTCGCTACATCATTCAAGATTTCTTACAACTCAATTGTGTTAAAACTATTACTCAAACAATTTTTTATACAAACAAAATGCAAATAAATTAAGACTTTAATGTTTATGTTTAAATAGAATTAATATAATTAATTACTTCAACATATATAATATAATGAGAAAAGTAATATTGTGAATACTATTTATTTAGTTATTTATTACATTTTCAATTTGGTTTGATTCAAGTTTATGGTTTTAACTTTCAAATCATAACCAAACTAATATCGGCAGTTTTTAAAGTTTTAAAACCAAACCAACCCACTAACTTTCAAAACCACAAATTTTGATTTGATTTTAGATCTGTTTGGGGCGGTTTATGAACACCCACTACTTTTATTTGTAAAAAAAATTTATTGATAATTTTTTAAATAAAATTTTGAATTTAATGCTTTTGTTTATGAAGTGTAGAATTTATTTGTAATATCAAGACAAAAACAAATTTATAGTAGTATTGTTTATTTCGGATGGAATAAATTGTTTTTTTTTCGAGTATTGCAAAAAGGAATTCGAATTTGAATCTATTGTCAAGTCATAATGCACTTACTATTAGGTTATGTCTTGGTGTACCAGATTGATTAAATTCTTCTAAGTTATGATAAAATTTGATTTAAATATATGATTACTTTTATAGGATGAAAAAATAAATTTTGAAATAAATCTATTTATTAAATAGTAATTATTTTTTTTGAAACTTTTTATTAAATAATTATTATTATGGTACAAAATGACTTCCGGAACGAAAGTTGGACAATTAGGATTCACGTGGTGGTCAAATTTATCGACCCCTTCTCATGTATTCTCTTACTTTGAAGTCAATGTTTCAATTTTCTCTTTATGGTTGTGTATTTGACCTACAATAGGAGCTTTATGTAAATTAACAGAAGATAAAAAATGAATTAGTATTCAGGTGCTTAGATATATATTCAAATATCTATTAATATTTTTAAATTTTGGTTATTTAACGGTTTTGTTTATTTTTTATTAATTATTAATGAAATGTTGCTATTATTCCTAATTTTTAAAATTTTAATTATATAGCCCCTTAATTTTGTACCTGATATACTATTTGATTTTTGTGATTAAAAATTAATAAATGATTAAATAGTATAACGAACATAAAGTCCAGAGACTACATAATTAAATTCTGAAAATAAAAGTTCTAACCAAGTGTATTCCGAGAAATTAAATAGTAATGTATGAGAACTATTTGGACGTGGATGCAGATGCTGAAAATAATGGAGTCGAGCAAGTCAATAGTGATGACAGGGCACTCCATAGGAGGAACAACCGCTTCTCTTTGTGCTCTTTGGCTCCTAAGTTACTGTCATTCAACCTTTTCCAGCGTTAAAGTATTATGCATCACATTTGGGTCGCCATTACTAGGCAACGAGTCCCTTTCTCGTGCCATTATGCGGCAGAGATGGGGCGGCAACTTTTGCCATGTTGTTTCAAAACTAGACTTGGTTCCTCGTCTACTGTTTGCACCTCTAGATAAATTAACTCAACTACACGACTTGCTACAATTCTGGCGCTCATCAATGGCTTTCCCACGTTTGGGATCTCCTGCTACCAATTTAGATGATCAAACCGAAGGCGTTTTCCAGTTAGTGTTATATTCGTTGCAAGCTGTTGATGCTACGAAGATGAGTTGCGGGTTTTGGCCATTTGGGAACTATTTGTTCTGCTCTCAGGATGGCGGTATTTGTATAGAGAATGCAAAATCTGTTATAAAGATGATGGGTTTATTGTTGGCGAGCGGTTCCCCAAGCCATAGCATTCAGGATCACCTCGAGTATGGAGACTACATTAGTAAAGTATCTCTGCAGTTTTTGAAAGAGAGAAATTTGCTGCCTCCTGAGGAGCTTCCTGAATCAAGCTATGAAGCAGGCGTTGCACTAGCGTTGCAGTCCTCAGGAATTCCAAGTCAGGTAATTATTTTATTTTGATTCCTCGAGAAAAATAATTCAGATTTCTAATTTTGATTCATGAACCAAAAATCTACAGGAAGCTGATGCCAGAGATTGCCTGAAGTTGGCGAGGCGAATGGGGCGTACGCCAAATCTCAACTGTGCTAATCTAGCCATTAAATTATCTAAAATAACTCCTTACAGAGCAGAAATAGAGTGGTACAAATCATCTTGTGAACAGTCAGAGAATCAAATGGGATACTATGACTCCTTCAAGCAAAGAGGAGCCTCAAAAAGGGATTCTAAAGTAAATATGAACAGGCACAAGCTAGCTCGGTTTTGGGATAACGTAATTAACATGCTGGAAAAAAATGAGCTCCCTCTTGATTTTCAGGGTCGTGCCAAGTGGGTCAATGCAGCCCATTCCTACAAGCTCCTTGTCGAGCCATTGGATATTGCAGAATATTATCGAACAGGAATGCACCGTGAGAATGGCCATTATATTAGTCATGGAAGAGGAAGGAGGTACCGGATTTTTGATAGGTGGTGGAGAGACAGACCAGATAAAGAGGAAGAGAAGAATAAAAGGAGCAGGTTTGCGAGTTTGACTCAAGACACTTGCTTTTGGGCAAGAGTGGAGGAAGCTAGAGAATCTCTAGACAGAGTTAGAAGTGAGAGAGATCCTATGAATTTGCGTTGTCTGTGGGCAAAGTTAGATGAATTTGAAAGGTATGCGAGCCGATTAGTCCAGCGAAAGGAGGTCTCTAAGGATGTAGTAGCAAAAAATTCAAGCTATAGTCTATGGTTGAAAGATTATAAGGAATTGAAATCACAGATTGCCCAGTGGCATGCCCAGTTTCCTAGTTTTCTGGATGCAGAAGTTGTTCCTTAGCATCTTTTTTCTTCGTAATAATGCTCAATCAGGCTTCATAATGAATATCACTGTGACATGGTGAGTTTTCTTTTCTTTTTTTTTTTTTCATTTTTTTTATCGTGGATTTATTTGGGATTGGGTCAACCGATGCTAAAAGGTTAGGTTAGTACTAACCAATTAGCTAGCTAGTTTGTCACTCTTATATGCCCCTTGTAGATATAATATTTATGCTCGACAAACGAAATCATTCAAGAATAAGAAACATTTGGACAAAAAAAAAAAGGTACTACAACTGAATCAAAGTTATATCTCATGTATTTGAAATTGTGACCAAAGTTAAACCTTTTCATTTGGAATCTGAATATTTCTAACAGGTCCTTTGAACCATTTCCTTGCATCCAACACCCACCAAAGCATGATCAAACTCAAACCAACACCCAAAGCTACCGGTGCATAGTTGAAAGTATCCCAAGAAATAGGGTAGTAAGTAGGCAAAAGAAAGACTGAACAGGTATAACAAATCCATAGAAAGGCAGTGAAGCAGATTGGCCTTCTTGCTCTGCCCAAATAAAACGGCCCAGCTTTAAAGTTCTTCTCAGCCATTACCATTCTCGCAAAAATTGGAACGGCATAGCCACCAACCCATCCAATAGTGCATATGGAAGTAATGGCAGTGAAAACTACATTCACTTTTAGTATTGGTAATCCAAGCAGAATGCAGATGGCTGCACAGAGCCACACTGCGTTTGAGGGAACTTTGTGCTTGGGATGCACTTGTCTCCATATTGATGAAAAAGGAATTCCTTCATCTCTTGACAGAGCATACACCTGAAAGCAACTCATATCAGATATTCAAGAAAATGACTGCAACAGATTTATGTTGACAATTCCAAGATGGCATAAGATTTCAGAAAAGAGAGAATTTCTGTTGCTAAACAAGTCCTCTTGAATGTCCAAATCAAGTAAATTAACCTCCCTATGAGATAGACTACAACTTACCACTCTGGCTGCACTGGTAGTGATTGAAAGCCCACCGAAGAAGAATGAACCCCATATGATAAAGAGTAAAACGATTGCTCCAGCAGCATTATGATACCTCCCATGAAAGGCATCGTATAGTATTTGAGCTGGTACAAACGCTCCTGCAGTTTCATTGTTGGTATCGTATAGGTAGTTAAAATCCTGAAGAAGGGTTGCAAGTGAAAATTAGATTTAGTAAAATCACCAACAATAAAGCACGGAGGAATCATTAAATTCTTGTATTGTGATGGTATAAAAGTGGAATCAGAAGATGGTTATTGAAAGTACCTGAATGCTGAAAGTAAGGGCCAAAATATATGCCCATCCAAATACTGAAATGATGCCAATGCTAGAAAGAATTGCAATAGGACCATTTTTATCAGCACCTTTGGTTTCTTCTGTCAGATGAGCTGCTGCATCATATCCATATAGTGAATACTGACTGACAAGAAAAGATAGAATGACTGCGTAAGGTTTGCTTGATATTCCAGTTGATTCGGGCACCATTTCAAAATGTGTAAACACATATGCAGCAGATTTTGTAGTTAATGCCACGAGCGGAAGCATTATAACAATAACCAAACCTCCAATAACCTGCCATTAGTAGGAAAAGTACAATTAAGAAAAAAGACACAAGAAAGGAAAAGTACAGTTAACAATAAAGGAATACAGAAAAACAACAAAACATCATCACCCAACAGAACGCCGGAACAAAATCACCCCAGACCAAAAATCAGAATTGCCTATTATTGAGAAAAAGAGCAAAAATCTAATAGGAGAACCAAAGGTGAAGCTATTATTACTACAAGTATTGAGACTTTTGATGATCATTGTGTTATGCTGTGACCATTGCCTGATTGTCGCTATCCCTACCACTTTTGAGACATTTTGCATCATTTTCAAGGTGAAACTAACTGAAAGACTATTAAGTTGAACGAACAACCCCAACATGGAGGGACTATTTAATTGGTTTTAAACAAAGATCCTGACTTGAGAATTTCACTAAACTAAGGGCACTAAATAGCAATTCACCCATTTCATAATTGTGTCAAGGAAGTGTAACTGCAACCAAATTAGTAGCTTTACCTTTTCATTCCATGAACGTCCTTTTTCTTTAGCAAAAAGCTATAATTTTTATTTGGAACACAGGATTTGAATTGTATGATCATATCTTCAAAGTTCCATTTTTCATACATAAATCACTTTTAAGACTCTCTAGAGAGTTGCTGTTCGCTTCAAAACATAATGGGTCAACTACAAATTGTATGACTGGCAAAGTTGGATTAAACGGTGGCTACATATAAATTGGCAATCATCAAAGTCCATACAGAGAATAAATGATATGAAAGAAAGCATTTAAAGTTATACCTGCCACCACATAGAGATTACATCAAGGAAAGCAATTACTTGTAATGCAAATGTGTTGAGAAATGCCCATATAACAGTGAGGCCCATGTACATGCATAAGAAGAGCCATTTAGGAGCAAAATATCCACCATCTTTATTTGTCCCTGTGCATAATAAAATGATACTCTGCAGTGTTTGTGAACCTGCATATGCCTTCAAAAAACACAAGTCATTTATCTGAATTTCCATTTCCCAATAAAATTAACGACGATGGGAAAGAAATGAACCTGTGTACCAATGCCAGCAATGAGTCCTATAGTCTCAAGCCAGGCACAACACCATGATGCAAATGGACCCCATTTGGGGCCTGCTAAATGTGCTGCCCAGAAGTACAGAGAGCCCGTGGTCTGTTCAGTTGCAGCCAAGACAAAGTGAGGGATATAGAAGGGAATATTAAAAGTTCCAAAATGTGAATCATGAATAAATAAATAAAGAGCATACTGGGAAAGAGGAACAGATCTCTGCCATTGCAATGCCAACAAACCAAGTGAAGAATGAAACGACAAGCCAACCCCAAACAAGACTTGCAGGACCCGCATACAAAAGGCTTGAACCATACAGAGGAGTAATCCCAGTAAAAAGGGTCATCGTCGAAAATGATATAGCCAAAGTCTTGAACAAAGTCTAAAGAAGGCAACAAAAGTACAACTTAAATTCAGAACATGGAAATTGAGATAATTTTATAGAATCTGATTTAAACAAGAAAAGAATACCATTTCTCTTCTGAGTTCTTGCTTGTAACCCAGCTCATTGAGCCGCTTCTCTCCAGAATCCATTGCTTGGATTGGATTTGGTACCAGTGTATACGTTCAAAAACAAAAGGTACTCACACATACAAGTATGTGTATATATATAAAGGTTTAAGGGACTGGATTTCCATTGACGAAAACTAAAGGAAAGAAAGGTTGACTAGATGCCTCTTTATTTGTAGGTTTGTTCTACGAACGAGCAGAGAGCGGACAAGTCAGACACTGCATAATTGAATTCATATTTCACGCAAATAAGAAAACGGCTCCAAGTGAATTTCTCAGCATATGATGTTTGACTTTAAACGGTTGGACTTGTCTTCATTCAGTTAACAAATCATCTTTTCTTTGTCCAGTTCTACCAAAAAAAAAAAATCAATTGCCCAATCTGAAAAGTCAACTAAACACTATTTCTCTTGCGTGAGAATAATAAAAAAATAAAAAAGAAAAAATCTCTTACGGAATCTCCTCTTTCATATATATAAAATATAAATGAGCTACAAAGTAGGAATATACCATATTCACTCCTACTTCTCATAATTACAAATATGGAAATTACTTGTAAATATATAATTAAAATTACAAAGGTCCAAAAAAATAAAATAAAAAAGGCCCAATAATGAAAATACAATCTTTTGCTTAAAATCGAAGGAGCACCTAACCATCAAACACTTCCACCACACCTTTTCAGCTCTGTAAGAACTCTAATGTAGCCGCAGTTAGCCCTGAAATCAGTCAAGTTCACATGTGGAAACATAAGTACATTTTTCATTTTTCATGTTTTCCCTGTTGCAATAGTTTATATGTCAATATCTTCAAATCCTAAGCAGATAATTCCATGTTTTCAAAATCATATTGTGGATAAGAATGTTCAATTATGCGACAAAACTTTGAGCAGATGGATTGGTTCCAAATTAGGTGTTAGATTGAATCTTGCTAATTTATTTAGTTGACAGGGAGATAAAGAAAAATCCACTTTTCTGTATGAATTTTGCACTTCTCTAGGACTACTGAATGTTTTCATATTGTCACCATCAATGTACAGGTTCATATCATATTATTAATGATTACAAACCTTACCTCGAAAAGAATGATTAGAGATGACCAATTCTCTGCCATCCATACAACCTCTGTAAGCCATTATACATTATCGTTTGCAACCTAAATATAAAAGAAAAAATTATGAAACATGATGCTCAAAATTAAATTTTCCTAAACATGACTGATATAAATCATCATAATTCAATTCACTTATTTGTAACCTTGTGGATTTCAAAAAGCTTTATGCTCATGATGATATCCTCGAGCAACACCACACAAATATTACACTTTTAAATGCACAAACAGCTTTGCACGTGCAACATATAATGCAGACTTGAATATGCAAATAAATGACAGATGCTGGAATATGCATTAAAAAAACACACAGCTAACAAGTCCTTCAACACCTCCTTGCAAGACTAGGTTTTGTCTATTGAACCTTTATTTTCTAATACAACACATGAAACTTGAAGTGTCCAAGGGCTGAAAAGTGATTCTTCCTAATATATATATACTTGTATAAAATAAAACAATAGCTTATATGATAATGTACGTGTGGAAAAAAGTCCATTTGGATAGAAAATCATTTGAAATGAAAGAATATTTGAATTTAATATCAGGTTCAATTTCCTTTCATCATCTTTTGCTTGGTAGGCAAATTCAAACAATTAGTTTCAAGTGTACAAATGCATGTTTTTCAAAGGTTGAAAGAGTGGGAGCAAATAATATTTAGTTAAGTTAAAACATAAATGTCTTATAAATTATTAGAATTTGGTTAATTTTTTTTATAAATTCAGCAGGTCAATTGACCCCACTGCATTGCAAGCGGCTTTGCCACTGACAGTATACCTTTTTGTTCTTTCATATCCATTACAGTCATGAACTTAGGACAATTCACAAAGGGCGGGGGAAATGATAAATGAAATAAGAGAAGGTGTTAAATTCCATGAAGATTGCAATGCTCTTTAACCAGCAAGCTTATGTTATTTTCACGTTGATAAAAATCTAATACAGGGTAAGTACAGAGGTTACCTTAGGATTATGAAGCAGAAGTGTGCATTACTAGGCAATTGTCTTGAAAGTAAGCAGTATAAAGTCAAGTCATATATGCTACATCAAATGAATGAAGCACTTCTTCTAACATCTTCCTTGTATCAGTGTCAAGAGGACTCTCTGGCTTATCTGACTGCACAATGTTTAGGAGGTAAATCTTCTTAGAGGCCACAAATGCTGCTGAGAAGATTCTCTTCATCCCTCCCCTTGTGCTGTCAACTTTATACTCGAATTCATACACTTGTACACCTCCATGACCTGATCTCTCAGCCACTGCAATTACCTCTGCCTCCTTCGTACTTTCCTGTACAAGAAGAAAGCAATGCTCTTCTAGTATCAATAGTAGAAAGCACTAAAAAATATTTTACCATGATTGCACAGAATATAACAGGCATGACTCAAATGTTTCCCTCTCAGAAGATAGATCAACGGTATGATTAGAAATTTAGCTTATGGAATTTCTCAAAAGTAGCAGTGAAGATGCAGAAAACAGCAACATAAGGGATCATAAGAATTTTGGTTTCAATGTTTCCCTCTTACAATAGCATTACTAATTAAAGAAATAAACAAAACAATTAAATGGCACATTACAAAAGGAAATACGTACTTAGGAAGCTAGATTGTTTGCCTTCTCTATCCAGGTCTGCAGTATATGCTCCCCACCCCAGCCCATCCCCTGCCTAACATTTGATACCAACAGTAATGTTCAATATGCTGCTGTCTTGCTGTGATATCAAGATCAGATGGGTGTACACCCAACCAAACTACCATTAGGAATAGTCTGGTATGTATTGTATAGGTCAATGGTCTTCACCTCAATGCCAAACAAACTAATACTGGTTCTAGGTCCAAAAGCTAAGTTGTAAGTGAAAAAAATTCCTAGAATCAAATTCCAAGGTCTCCTATAAAAAAGAAATTGTTTTTGTTCTACTTGTTAGGTGTGATGGGGTTTAGAGAAGGGCAACGTTACCCAATTGTGTGTAATCAAAGACCCAACAGGCCTCCAAATGGATCAAAATGGAGAAAAAAAGTAAAGAAGGAAATTAAGGTGAAGGGGCATGCCACTAGATGCTTGTCTCTTTTAAATGTCCCATTCCAAAACATGGCACAAGTTATTTTCAAATGGTTTGCCTCACAGCTTCTAGCATAATGAATCACACGTCCAAGGAGAGAACGCAGGTTAAATTTCAGGATTGACAGTACAGTTGACTTTGAATTAAAAAGCACAGATGTAACATTGCTATTACCGGCCAACTTTATGTTAAATCCAGTTTGAAGTTAACTGAAAAACAAGCGGAAAATGGACTTGTTATTTACTCACTCCGTTCCAAAAATATAGTCTATTTTTCCTTTTTGGTTTGTCCCAAAATATAATTCACTTTCCTTTTTTCCTTTTTTGGATTATAGTTAATCTTTAAATTGTCTATTATTATACGCTTATTAAATTTTATCTTATTTTCAATGTCTCTCGTTAATTCTTACCAGTATAATAATTGCTCATGTGTATGGGAATAATAAAAAAGTTATATGAAATAAAATTATCCTTGAACCATAATAATTGTTACTTCTTAGCCCTAGTGAAAATAGAAAATAGAAAGTGGACTGTCATTTTTGGGACGGAGGGAGTATGAAATATTTGTGAAGTAACATTCTATCAAACGCTCAATACCTTAGTTCCTATACTTCGAAACCTACTAATTGAAACTTGATAATAAAGTCCTTTCTTCACGCCAGTCCCATATACGAACCAAATCTACCCCATACTTTTATGCAAACTCTTTGATTTACTAAACACTCATTCAAATTGAATAGTCCAGCAAATTCATCGTAGAGGTAGAAAATTTGTAGGCAGAGATAGGCACTAAAAATGCATGAAGGTCGGAGTTAAACAAAATGCAAAAGTTCCTTTAAGCAATCCGAACTCCTCATTCAACGAGACATTTAAACAAACACTTACTTTGCGCTTTTCAGCTTGGATAAGCTTGTCAGCCACAAACTGAGGGCTCCCGAATTCACCGAGGCTGGTGAGACGAACCGGATTCACCACAACCCCTATATTGTTACTTGCCTTATTCACCTCCTCAAACAGTACGGTTGCTCCCGCTTTATCCACCTATTTTAAACGAAAATCTAGATAACCCAATTCTTTGAAAACGATAAAAAGAAAAATTGAAGTAACCATGTCTGTTTGGAGGCACCTTAACATAAGAAGAGGGTCTGAGAAGAGTGAACCCTTCCTTGGCATCCGTGTATCTCTCAAGCTTCTCCAACTGTAGAGCCAAAACGGTATTAGAAATGTCTGGTAAAGACTCATTGATGATTAGAGCAAGGATTGCGAGGTAAAGCTTTCTCTTAGTTGAACACAATGATAATGGCAGCGGGTCGTGATTTCTTATTAAGAGAGAATCTTTGGGCAGTGAATTTGAGAAGAAAGGTTTAGGGAACGCAGACTTGGAGCCGCCGTTCTGTTGGTAGGGAGATTTGCTCCAAAGGGCGAAGCAACTCCTCGAAGCCATTGGTTAGAAATGAAGTGAATTGTCTCTTAGATAAGACGCTTTTTCGCCACCGAGTAGATAAATTAAATTAAGGGCCGGTTTGAATGAACGGGTGGGGACAGGACTGGACAGCTTCGGCATTTCAGCTTCCAAATAGTTGGTTGTTCTTTTATGTCTTCGGAGATTAGCAGTGTTTCAGTTGTGGAATTCTTCTTTCGGCGCTATATATTATGTCTTTCGAGATTAGCAGTGTTTCAGTTTGTGGAATTCTTCTTTCGGCGCTATTATATATATATAATATATATATATATAATATATAATAATATATATATATATATATATATATTATGCACGTGCAGATCCCGTTTACTGTACTCATTATAATCTTATTTTTATGCTTTTTATTTTTTTTTATTTATATAATATTAAAATATAATTTTACTTATATTAAAATAAGTACAATTGGTTAATTTGTATTAGATTTTATCATACAAACTTTTTGTAATGTTACTTTTTCTATATTTAATTAGACTAATTTTTTTATGGCGTGCGATTCACGTTAACTATACTCGTTTTATGTATATTTTTTACACTCATTTAGCTTTTTATTTATATAATTAAAGTATAAATTCTTAACTGCAATAAATATAATGGTCCTTATATATATAGTAAAATATTTTTTTTAAATTATATATCTTGCATTATAATATCTCATTGAAAAAAAAATTGAAATATTTGTTTCTTCCTTTAAATACATTCATATAGTTTTTATTATATATTAGTTGCTTTTGTTTTTTGCTTAAATACCAAATTAATTTATAAAAATTCATCATACAGCTTTTATTTTACGTTTTATAAGTAACTTACATGTTTTGTTAATAATTTCCACTATAATCTCTTTTAGTAAATAAATATACTTTAAAAATAGAATAAAAAATAATCTAATAAATCAAATTAAATATTTATAAATAATAGTAATCTTTATTTTTATTTTTTTAGCCAATCAAAATCATGAAATTATTGAAATTATTTAAAAATTTTTTTAATAAAATTATATTCCTTAATAGAAAGAATAGAAATTTGAATTAAATAAAATATCAATATAATTAATCAAATTTGAGATGTCTAAAAATAATAAATTTTCATCTTATTTTTTGTCCAACCAAATTAGAGTAAAATTTGTAATTAAAGAAATTTAACCATATCCTTTTTAAAACAAAATTTTATTTATCTAGATATATTTATTTAAAATAAATCTAAAAAAATAAAATTTTTAAATGCCTCATATTTACACATATTCATTTAAATTGCCTTCTTTTGGCCATTTAGGTATATTCTATCATGGCTCAATCTCGACGTTCAAAACCCCAAAGGGTGAAAGACTTAAGAGAGGTGTCGGAGGCAAAACGAGCTAAAAGAGCTCTTTCTAATAGTGACTATAAGGCCCAAGCCCAAATGCCTAAGAGGGAAGCTCCTCCAATTCCAACTCTGACGAAGGAAGAAAGATTAAAAGACATCAACTCTTGCTTGAAATAAAGCAAGCGCAAACTTGAAGCAATGACTTTCTTCCAAGGTGTGAAGGCGTGATTTACTCTCATGCGCATTATCACCAACCACCTTATGGAAATTGAACATTTCACTTTAGAGGATGCGAAGCCATATCAAACCTCTTAGGCTTTGAGGTTTAAGTATTGTAAATATTTAGTTATGGCCTCAAAAAAACTGTAAATTTAATGTTGAAAAATATTTTTCTTCTCTTTGATTCATCAATAGGGACACATATATATACACATACAAGGTACTATAAACCTATTAGGAATCTAACTCTAATAGAGTTCTATTTACAACTAATCCTTAACACTCCCCCTCAAGTTGGAGCATAGCTATTAATCATGCCCAACTTGTTACAAAGATAGTTAAAGTTCACCCGAGGTCCATTAGAGCTTTTGTAAAGATATTTCTTAACTGTTCTAACTTGTTTTTAACCCCGGTGGGGTGCTGTAGAATAACAACCCACTTGTAATCTTTTCACGAATTGAAATGACAATCAACTCTCGATGATGTTTTGGCTCGTATGGAATACTGGATTTGATGCAATGTGAAGAGCGGCTTGATTATCATACCATAACTTTGCAAGCAAGGATGACTTGAAGCCAATTTCCTCTAATAACTGATGAATCCAAATTAATTCATAAGCAGATTGTGCCATAGGTCGATATTTTGATTCAGCACTCGATCGTGAGACTATATTTGGTTTCTTGCTTCTCCACGATATCAGGTTTCCACCTACAAAGACACAAGATCCTGAAGTTGATCTTATATCAACCTTCGAACCTGCCCAATCCGCATCTGTAAAACACTCAATGTTCAAATGCCCATGATTACTGTGAAGGAGGCCACGACCTGGATTACCTTTCAAGTACCACAAAATCTATCCTAAAGCTTTCTAATGGATAACAGTAGGAGAAGACATAAAGTGGCTTAAGACGCTCACAGAGGAAGCAATATATGGACGTGTTACTGTAAGATAATTCAGTTTGCGCACTAACCTCCTATACATCTCAGGATCATCCAATAGCTCACCACCAATTGAAAGTTGCAAATTAAGAGGCATTGGAGCACTACATGGCTTGGCACCCAACTTTCCAGTCTCCTTCAGTAAGTTAAGGACATACTTCCTTTGAGATAAGAAGATGCCTCTATTAAACCTAGACACTTCAAGACCCAAAAAATACTTTAAGAATCCTAAGTCTTTTGTCTGGAACTGGGTCTAGAGAAATGGCTTAAGTGATGTAATGTCGACTGAATCACTCTCTGTAATAACAATGTCATCAACATAAACTACAAGTAGAATCAAACCAGTCTTAGTACTTCTGAAAAATACAGAATGATCAGAAGTACTCTTCTACATGTCAAATTGATGTACCACATTGCAAAATCTAACCACATTGCAAAATCTAATAAACCAAGCTCGAGGACTCTGTTTTAGGCATAAAGAGATTTTCAAAGTTTACACACTTTATCCAACTCCCCCTAAGCAACAAAGCCTGGTGATTGCTCTATGTATACTTCTTCCTGAAGATCCCTATGCAGGAAGGCATTCTTAACATCTAGCTAATGTAAAGGCCAGTCAAAAGTAGCTGCTAAAGGAATAAATAAATGAATAGAAGACAATTTAGCGACAGGAGAAAAACTATCAGAATAATCAAGTCCATAAATCTGAGAATAGCCCTTAGCAACTAATCAAGCCTTGAGACGAGCAACAGACCCATCAAGATTCACTTTAACGGTGAAAGCCCATTTACAACCAATATCCTTCTTACCTGCTGAGAGAGGCACAAGATCCCAATTACTATTAGTATCTAAGGCAGCCATTTCTTCTTTCATTATTGCACACCAACCAGGATGGGACAAAGCTTGGACAACAATTTTGGGGATAGAGACAGAGTCTAGGTTACTTGCAAAACAACAAGATGAAGAAGAAAGATGATCATAACTTACAAAAGAAGAAATAGGATAGGTACACTTGCATTTACCTTTTCGAAGAGCAATGGGAAGTAGGTACACATAGGTACACTTGCATTTACCTTTTCGAAGAGCAATGGGAAGATCAAGGTCTGACTGGGGAGTGGATGGGACAAGCTCAGGTTGAGTGGAGTGAACTGGATCTAATGTTGAAGCGGTAGGTGGAGGAAGTGAGTTAAGAGTTCCTGGTCTCTTAGAATAAACCGGTTCAAAACGAGGGCGAGCAGATGCTAGTGCAGGAGTGGGAATAGGAGCAGTAGACGCCGGAGCAGGAGCAGGTGCAAGTTTAGGAATGGGAGCAGGAGCAGGAGAGTTATGAAATTGCTAGATAGCATAGACTAAAAGGTCATCATCCTCCCCCTCACTCTTATACATAGCCTTGGCCACGGTTCCGAAACCGGCGGTTCCGTTTCCAGAAAAACTGGAATCGGAACCGAACCGAAAAGGTCCGGTTCCAGTTCCGATTCCGATCCGGTTACAAAACCGACGGTTAAACCGACGGTTCCGTATCGGTTTTCCGGCGAATCGCGTAATTTTTAAATTTTAACATTTTGAAGCCAGTTTAAGAAAATTATTTGAAGAAACATAAAAAATTAAAAAAATAACCTAAAAAATTTTTAAAATTTGAAGACCGTTTTAAAAAAAAATTATTTGAAACATAAAGATTAAAAAATATACCTAAAAATTTTAAATTTTGAAGACCGGTTTAAAAAAAAATTATTGAACATAAAAAATTAAAAAATACTTCAATAAATTTATTTTTTTAAAGATTGAATTGGTTGAGTGTTGAACATAATTATTTTTTTTTAAAAAAAATTCAACTGAATTTTTTTTTTTTAAAAGTTTTGGAACATAATTTTAAACAAAAATGGGCTTACCTTTTATTTTTTTTTTTTGTTTGAAAAAAATTAAGTTGCCCTAAGTATCCGTCTTGGGTTTAGAGGCATCATAAGCCCACGTATGTTCTTACTTACGCTTATACCAATTTCACCCATTTACCTTAATCGCCTATTTGCACCACCGGTTGATGTTCCGTTGAGGGACCCAATCGTAATAAATCAAATAAATCTTCATTTTCTTTTGGATTTTTTTGGGCTTTAGTCGGCCCTTGGTCTCAATCATCCATCGCATGGTTTGGCTTCAATGATCGGTGTCATACGAGGAATCGTGTTTCATCAAGTTATGTTTCCTCCTGATAAAAGCTTTTCAACCGCAACAGTGGAGACCGGAGCTGCTAAAAATTTTGTTTACCAAGTAAAGAAAGAAATTGGAAAAGTATTTGCGTGACGACTCACCAACCTAAAATTGGAAAATCAGTATCTGCAATAATCATCACCAACTCAAAAAGAAGTTGTCAAATAATTATCAAAAATTCAGAAATATAACTGGATTTCCCTTGTTCTTTTCGTCTTTGGTAAAGACTTGTTGATGCACACCAACACCACTTACCCTTGTGTTGGAAATCTGTTGAATATTAGGTAGATGAACTAGAAACTTGAACAAATTCATTATATAATTGCATAATATTTTGTTTAACTTCATGCATTACTACATTTATATTAACATTATCTTCTACTACATTTATATTAACATTATCTTCTACATCAAGATTCAATACTTCATAATAAATAGTCAAATAATCACATAAAACATCCATTCTACATC